GATAAAATGCTGGCAGCTGGCTCTCTGCAGCTCTCACATGGTCGCCCACTGAAGCCAAGCAGGGCTGCACTCGGTCAGTATCTGAATGGGAGATCATTTGGGAAACCTAGGTTGCTGCCAGAAATAGTGAGACCAGCAGGGGGCGCTCAACCTGCGGTTTGTGTTGGTCCTAATGCCCCAGTATAGTGAAGGAGACTCTATACTGCTCAGCGAGCCACGTCTTTCAGATGAGATGTTAAAACCGAGGTCCCGACTCTCTGTGGTCATTAAAAATCCCCAGATAGTTCTTAAAAAAAAAAAAAAAAAAAGAGTAGGGGTTTAACCCCGTCATCCTGGCCAAATTTGCCTACTGGGCGATGTACATCATGGTCTCCTAACTATCACCATATTATAATCCACTCCTCTCCACTAAACGGATGGTGTACAGTCTGACACAATATGGCTACAGTCGCATCATCCAGGTGGATGCTGCACACTGGAGGTGGATGAGGAGATTCCGCCTCAAAAATGTGTAAATCTTGAATGTCCAGAGAAGTGCTATATAAATGTAAGAAATTATAATAATAAACAGTTTATGGAATATAAGCAGTTGAAATATAGCATGCTGTCACTTTAAGAGACACACAGATCCAATTTAGTGTTACACGTGCATTTTCTCCTTATGTTCATTTATTAAATATCAAATGAGAGTATGAAAACTGCATTTAGATGCATTTTTGTAATTATTTGACCATTTAGTTAAAAAGATCAGTTAATGTGTTCGTTCTGTTTGTCTCTGAGGCAATGTTTACACGTACATGGTAGGGTTGGGTGATGTTTACCAATTTGGCATCGTACGATATCTAATGTCAAACATTGCGATGGACGATGCCATCGTCATCATAGGCGGGGGGTGGGGGTGGTTGTTAAATATCAATTAATTCATAACAAATTAATTATTGTAGCCTACCGTGTTCACTACCTGATCCACATGGTTTGCTTTACCCATAACCAAATCATAAATAAAAAAAGTTACACACAAATGACCACCTTTCAATCAATTTTTTTTCCCGCGGGACTCTGGCATGAACAGTGATCTGTGTCGTTCTAATGGCTTTTCCCCACAGTTGGTGGAGGGGACAAGAGTTCGGTTGGAGCTCACTGTAGTGCATACATTTTTATTGTTTTCACGGCAAAAACCTCACCGCGTGCGCAGATTTTGGAGACATTTATGCAGAATGCATCTTTGCACCTAAAAACGCCAAACGCAGCACTCAGGAACAGATTAAAACAGTTGTTATGTGAACTTGCTGAAATAAAAAAGCCTGCAATGTTAGCCCCGCCTTTGTGCTCTTCTTATTGGCCCACTGCTCTAGAACTGAACGCGAATGATTGGTTAATATCAGCTGTCAATCACTCAGTCAATGCTTTTAGCCTTCAGATGACAGGAGCTACAACCGCGAAAATGTGAAGCGCTGAAGATGAGAGAATGACAATAACACTGACAGATCTACCTACAGTTACTAATAATGGCACATCTTACTAGAGATCATGTGCTAAATGTTAATCCACCATTTTCCAAAAGTGGATTAAAGACTTCCAGTGGCTATGAAAACAATTAAAGCCGTTCACTGTAAAGTCTGTGGGACGAGGTTTGCAGGTAACAGCGTTTGCCACGAAATCTACACATTTTAAGCACGAGAGGTGCTGTATAATCCTTCATTTAATCTTCAAGATGCTGTCCGCCATGCAAGTTATATGGCAGCTATATGTAAAATTTAACACAGCACATGAAAAAACCGTTACTGCTATTAAGATGACATGCAAATAATAAATTATATATCAATATAAATGTGGGGCAGGGCGATGGATCACGATGCCGGCTCAGCATTGTAAAGTTTGTCGGCCATTAGCGATGGACGATGGCAAACTCAGTTCCAAAAGGGCCGCAGCTCTGCACAGTTAAGTTCCAACCCTAATTAAACACACCTGATCCAACTAATTGAGTCCTTCAGGCTTGTTTGAAACCTACAGGTAAGTGTGTTGGAGCAGGGTTGGAATTAAACTGTGCAGGGCTTCGGCCCTCCAGGAATTGAGTTTGACACCCCTGGTCTATCGGCACAACCCTAGTACATGGTATATTCAGAAACTGAGTTTTGCTTTGAAAAATTCTCTGTACACATGAAAACGCACTGTGATGCACATTAAGGGTACACCAAACCAACAGGTGGCGATAATGACACCTATGCAGGGTTCATACCAAATACAGGATTAAATTTATTTTGCGAATACATTCAATATAAGTCAAAGCAAATGTGATAACAGAGCTGGATTATTGATGCGAACATGCGAAATTTGCCTCAAACATGTCTTTTGCATTAAGTGTGAACCTAGCAGTGTTTGCCAATCAGAAAGTAGAATACAGCGTGCACTCTGACATCATGAGGCAAAAAACTTCGGTTGTAGTGTCCAAGCGGCCACACTGGACCCAGAGTTTCAGAAAATCTACACCCTGGCCAAAGTTATCAGAAAGTTTCAGTTTCAGTCATCTGATACTGTATTTTCGTGTAGATAAACAGGCAAACCATGTAGAAAAAAAAGAGCTGCGGTTTTGAGAACAGAAATGTTTGTGTGGACAGGACCTGAGGCTGAGCACATGCACACAACAGCACAAGCTCTCTTTAATACTTTTAAAAAGATGAATGAATCCTAAACACTTAAAATAATCAAGCACATCCCATGATTTCACTGAATTCCACGTGAAACTGAGCTTTGCAGAATAAAGAATCTGGACTGCTGCAAGGGATCGGGATATGACGTAATGATTATTTTCATCTTGATTTATGTTTTTTCATAATGGAGAGCAAAATCAAAACAGAAACGGATTTTTGATTAATTGCACAGCCCTAGTTGTTGACCAGATTGTTGTAGCTGACGTCTGCTAATGCAAATGATTTTCAATTGTCTTGAGTAAATTTATCTTTAAGTGATTGTATCTGACTCTTGGCCCTTGATTTAATTGTACACGTGTTGCCAAAAGTATCAACTTTGGTATCAACTTGGGTACTGGAGATAAAGAGGGGGTAAATAAAGTAAACCGATTGCCTTTACTATCAATCACAGTGATAACTGTTGAGAATATTTGCCAACACAATAGCCAATCAGTTACTCAAACATTAGCGGGAAATAGACAATTTCAAAATTTCAGTACTGTTTGGTACCGAAATCGATACTTTTGACAACACTACTACAAAGTGAACTCAGCAGTTAAATACGGTCTTTAAAAGCTATTTAGCATCCAAATTTGAACATAAGCCAACACAATAGCCAATCAGCAGAGTTTAAACAAAATAATATCGAAAAATAGACATTTTTAAAATTCAGTACCAATTGGAACCAAAATCGATACTTTTGACAACACTTCTACAAAATGGACTCAAACTGTCGCTAACAGCTATTTAGCATACAAATGAGAACATATGTCAACACAATAGCCGATCAGCTTTGTTTAAGAGCGAATTCAAATATTGACGGGAAATAGACGTTAAAATTTTATTACCGATATCGATAAATTTAGCAACCTTACCACAAAGTGGACTCAGCAGTGAAAGACGGTCTTTAACAGCTATTTAGCATCGCCAATCAGCTGTTTAAATAAAATAATATCGAAAAATAGACATTTTTAAAATTCAGTACCAATTGGTACTAAAATCTATACTTTTGACAACACTACTACAAAGTGGACTCAAACTGTCGCTAACAGCTATTTAGCATCCAAATGAGAACATAAAGTCAACATAACAGCCAATCAGCTTTGTTTAAGAGCGCAATTAAATATGAACGAGAAAAAGGTGTTAAAATTTCAGTACCCATAGATACATTTGACAAACCTACTTCAAAGTGGACTCAGTAGTAAATAATGTCCTTAAAACCTATTTTGCATTCAAATGAGAACATAAGCCAACACAATAGCCAAACAGCTGTGTATAAATAAAATATTATTGAGAAATAAACATTTTTAAAAATTCAGTACCGATTGGCCAATCAGCAGAGTACCGAATAGCCAATCAGCAGAGTTTTAAGAAAGCACTCAATTTTTGGCAGGAAAGAGATGTTTTTAAAAATTCAGTACCGATTAGTACCGAATTCGATACTTTTGACAACACTACTTCAAAGTTGACTTAAACTGTCTCTAACAGCTATTTAGCATCCAAAAGAGAACAGATTCCAACACAACAGCCAATCAGCTGTGTTTAAGAGCGCATTCAAATATTAGCGGGAAATAGACTGTTAAAATTTCATTACCGATATCGATACATATGACAACTCTACCACAAAGTGGACTCAGCAGTGAAATACGATCTTTAACAGCTATTTAGCATCCAAATGAGAACATAAGCCCACACAATAGCCAATCAGATGTGTTTAGGAGCGCATTCAAATATTAGCAGGAAAAAGATGTTAAAATTTCATTATCGATATCGATACATTTGACAACTCTACCACAAAGTGGACTCAGCAGTGAAATACGATCTTTAACAGCTATTTAGCATCCAAATGAGAACATAAGCCCACACAACAGCCAATCAGCAGAGTTTTAAGAAAGAAAATTATTGGCAGGAAATAGATGTTTTTAAAATTTCAGTACCGATTGGTACCGAAATAGATACTTTTCACAACACTACTACAAAGTAGAGTGACTCGGATTGTCTCTAACAGCTATTTACCATCCAAATGAGAACACATACCAACACAATAGCCAATCAGCTGTTTTTAAATAAACTAACTATTAGCGGGAAATAGACATTTTAAAAATGTCAGTACCAATTAGTACAAAAATCGAAACTTTTGACAACCCTACTTCAAAGTAGAGTCAGCAGTGAAAACTCTAACAGCTATTTAGCATCCAAACCTTCATGCTAATGAAAGGACAAGGCTTGAGCTCTGCAGGGACATGAATGCATTTTTTCCGACTGCACAAACCAGGCGCTTTGCACTAAAACAACAGGTTTATGGCTCACATGCTTCATGTTTTCCGAGGCTCTGCAGAAATGCTCAGCGAAGGAGACCAAAGCGGCGTCTGAGGTGAAGGTTGAGATGGCCTCGGGCTGCAGAAGAACAGAGAAGTGGGAGGAAAGGAAAAACAGCTCATTCACATGAAAACTACTCCCTTGCAACACTTTGAAAGAACACATTATGCTGCATAAATCCAGTAAGGAACACAAGACTCAAGCACACAACAATTATAGAAGATTAAACAAATGAAGAGAATTTTTCCATTAAATACTTTATAGTTCAATAGCAAAATGGTGAAACTTTATTAAAGTACCACTGTAATACTACTAAACTGTATAAAAAACAAAGCATTTAAAAAACAAACAGGGTAATATATTAATAATAGTGTTAACAATCATTTACATACGATTTTGTGTGATGTTTGGTGGTTAATGATTAATAATAAACATCATTTTTTTGTCAATTACTCAAATACGCAGCTAACTGACATCTGCAAATATCTGTAAAATAAATTACAATACTTAATATTAATAAAACAAAATGTTAATAATTTCTTTATTGAAGTGTAGTAAGAATTGCACCAATAACGAAACATATTTCAATATTAATAACACTACTGTACAGCAGGTAAATGAAAATAAAGGAAAATAAAACAGCTCTATATCAAAAATATCATTATATCAAGTGATAATATAACTATTTTTATTTATTAATATTTTAATTACTGTATCAAATGGCCTAAAAATAAACAAATAAAGATTTTTTTCATTAAATGATAGTTCAATATTATTATCAGGATATTTCTCTAAAAACCATTGTAATATTATTGCATTGTAAAGTGCAATAAAGATAAAAACTAATGTAATTAATACAAAAAAAACTAAATTATTGTACATTTAACAACGTTATTAATAATATTTATAATCATTTTATTATTAGGTTGGAAAAAAAATAACTCATTGACCTCAAAATTAAAAAACGTTGCAGAGAAAGATAAAAACTAATGTAATTATTATACTGTACACTCACTGGCCATTTTATTAGGTACACCTCTCCAACTGCTCATTAAAGCAAATTTCTAATCAGCCAATCTCATGGCCGCAACAAAATTAAAGCATTTCAGAAACTGCTGATCTATTGAAATTTTCATGCACAACCATCTCTTGGGTTTAAAGAGAATGGTCTGAAAAAGAGAAAATATCCAGTGAGTGGCAGCTCTGTGTGTGCAAAATGACTTGTTGATGCCAGAGGTCAGAGGAGAATGGCCAGACTGATAGAAAGGCAACAGTAACTCAAAAAACCACTTGTTACAACCGAGGTCTGCATGAGAGCATCTCTGAACGCACAACACGTCCAATCTTGAGGCAGATGGGCTACAGCAGCAGAAGACCACACCGGGTGCCGCTCCTGTCAGCTAAGAACAGGAAAGTGAGGCTACAATTCACACAGGCTCACCAAAACTAGACAATAAAAAAAAATTGGAAAAATGTTGCCTGATCTGATGAGTCTCAATTTCTGAAGCAACATTCAGATGGTAGGGTCAGAATTTGGCGTCAGCAACATGAAAGCATGAATCCATCCTGCCTTGTATCAATGGTTCAAACTGCTGCTGGTGGTGGTGTAATGGTGTGGGGGATATTTTCTTGGCACACTTTGGGCTCATTAGTACCAATGGAGCATTGTGTCATCGCCACAGCCTACCTGAGCATTGTTGCTGATCATGTCCATCCCTTTATGAACACAGTGTAATCATCTTCTGATGGCTACTTCCAGCAGGATAATGCTCCATGTTATAAAGTGTAAATCATCTCAGACTGGTGTCTTGAACATGACTATAAGTTCACTGTACTCAAATGGTCTCCAGATCTCAATCTAATAGAGCATCTTTGGGATGTGGTAGAACGGGAGATTCGCATCATGAATGTGCAGCCGACAAATCTGCAGCAACTGTGTGATGCTATCGTAACAATACAGAGCAAAATCTGAGGAATTTTTCAAGTACCTCGCTGAATCTATGCCGTGAAGGATTAAGGTAGTTCTAAAGGGAAAAAGGGGTCCAAAGTACAAGTGCGGTGTACCTAATAAAGTGGCCAGTAAGTGTATCTTTATTATTATTATTAAGAAGAAAAGCATTTTATATTCATAAATTATTATATTATATTATTTATTCTAATGTAATTTATACTAATGTAAATTATTTAAAGAACTAATGCAATTCATACAAAAATGTCTAAATTATTATTATTTAATAATAAAATAAAAATAATTATTATTATAACTATAAATACATATAATTAAAAATAATTATTATTCATTTATTATTATTATTATTATAATTTTTAAGTTGAACAAAAAAAAAACCCAGCTCATTGACAAAAACAGTTGCATCAAAGAGCTCACTATACTGTATGAATTCAATAAAGGACATACAAGCTCAGCAAACATCAGTGCAGACCTTTATCCTCTATATTAGCATGAGTGGTTTGATGCATGAATTATATACAAACACACGTGTGACACAGTAAATATTGACAGACGTCAATGGAGCTGGTTTGTGGACAGAAGGTTATATTTATCATGCACACACGCTGACCTTAAACGTGCGAACTTCTGCGCTTCTGTTGTTGAGGTTCGGGGCCAGTAAACTCTTCCAGCCTTGAGGATCGTCCTTGTAGGGAAGCTGACCGGCCCGCAACTTTACATACAGGACACCGTCTCTGGACAGGATGGATCTGCACAATTCAATTCAAGTTTATTTCAGGGTTTCTGCAAGTTTCAACAGGTCAAATTTAAGATCATTATGAATTAAATATTTACCAAATAATGTTTAACAGAGCAAGGACTTTTACCACAGTATTTCTGATATTTTTTTTCTTCTGGAGAAAGTCTTATTTGTTTTATTTTGGCTAGAATAAAAGCAGTTTTTATAAAAAAAAAAAAAAAAAAAAAAACATTTTTAGCCCCCTTATGCAATATTTTTTCGATTGTCTACAGCAGTGGTTCTCAACCAGTACCGGTCTGTGGATCAATTGGTACCTGGCGCACAAGAAATCATTATTTATTTCCGTTTTATGTATTATCCGAGTCTGAATGACTGTTTATTTAGAAAAGTCTTTTATTTTGAAAAATGACTGTAGTCTCTCAGTTGCATCTCGGTCACTTGAGTGCCCAAATTTAACCCACAAGCAGCAAAATGAGTAAGAAACAGACGTCTTCGGAAGGTTTCTTTACTAAGGTGAAAAGGTCCACTGAAGGACCCACAAACTGCCAAGGAATAGATCAGCAACCCATTTTTCAGCAAATCAGGTGAATCCATCATGTCTGTGCAAGAACATCAACTGCTGCAGATCACAATTGGCAGCGTCTTTTAGGGGCCATTCGCATATCACGTCTTTTCTAGAGTTCACACAACTAAGTTATTCCAATGGAGGTAAGTGGCTTGAGCGCACAAACGGCGCCTTCCAGACGCACCCAGTTGAATGAATGCTAGCAAACCGCGAGTCACATGACAAATCTGATCAGCTTCAGCTTTTCTGCAGAATATACAAATTTTAGTAGACTAATTATTTTAGACAAACACAGAAAACACAAACACTGCAGTCAGGGCTCAACAATAAGGACTGCCCGATGGCCCAGTGCCAGCATGAGAGAGCCATGGGACAGTAGACATGATCATTATTGGCCCGATTAGGACAGTGCTGCCTTGTCACTAAAGTTTAATCTGTCTGCGACTATTTGTCAATTGCGTGCATTTTAAGTTTGTGCTTTTAAGTCTTTAAATGTTATCTTCTCTGTGATGTCGTAAACACCATATTTGTTTTCGGTTCCTCTTATCTGACTTGATGTTTTGAGCATGCTATTTTTTCCTTAACCTGGTAACAACCAGTACAGCGAACAAACGGCAACAGGGGGGCAACATCAAATTATAAGACCTGAATGTCTGTTTCTCATGTCTTGGAAGCAGACATTTACGTGGGAACAACATGACAAAAAATTAAGTGATGTTTTGAACAATTTGCCGTCAGTTTGACAAGTCAGCCATCACATTTTTCATACTGCTTTTTATGATTGCATAACACTTTGAATTTTGCTCATTATATATTTATTAACATTTTCTAAAGTATTGAAAATCTAGATTCACAGACATTATTTATGACACATTCTTTAAAATATATGCCTAAAAAATAGCTATTAACTTCTCTTTTTTTTTTTGGTGGGGCCAGTGAAAATTTTGGCAGGGCAAGTAAAAATCTGAACCACTGGCCCGATCGAACCAATAAAAAAAATCTTTATTGTTGAACCCTGCTGCAGTGTTTTGTACTTTTCTCCATAAATAATACTTGTATCAGAGTTACAGCAATGTTTTGTCAACTTGTCATCCTAGCAACAGGCCCGGATTAAGAACTCAGGGGCCCCTGGGCACATTGTCTTGTAAGGCCCCCGAGTTCTTAATCCGGACGTCCTCCGCCTGGTTACTAGCTTATTTAACATTACCATAACGTCTTCTTCTATACCCTCATTTTCCTGATCATGGCTCTGTTTGAAGAAGGTGGGTATGGAAAATGCCTCAATAAAGATGCCTCCTCTCCTCTTTCTCTCGCGTTTGCTAAATCCACTTGTTCACTCATTTTTGATCTGACAAATAACGTACTAACGTTACACTACAGTCCGCTCAGTTAAGTGTGGGTTATTTCAAAACTGACGTTTCCGCACTTGACCGATTACAGCATTCTGTTTAGTTAAAGATTTAAGGCAAATTAAATATTATAATAATATTAATAAGTGATAGCGATTTTTTGGCTTAGAGGAAATACAGTTGTCTGAGCAATATAGTTTTTACAGAAAGGGAGGCACCTTATTAAGGCTAAACATTATTAAATACCCACGAGGCACATGTGACTTTATATCACATTTGCATTATTTTTAAAAATAAATGTTTCCTTCCTGTTAAAAATAAATATATTTCCAATCTGATATGTAATGGGGAGGAAAAAAGTAGCACGAGTTCAGCTGATGGTGGATTCGAACCGAGTTGATGATCAGTCACGTCAAAAGATGTTGCTGTGCGCTTTACATGGTATGCTACTCAGACTGTATTGCTGATTAGCTCTTTACTCATGTTGTCTTCGTCAATCAGGCACCGATGGGCGTAAATCGTGAGCAACTTATTCCAACTTGGTGCGCTATTTGCAAATAGTTTAAATAGAAACTCCGAAATTGACTTTTTTTCTCCCCCCTCGCAAGGGCCCCAAGTGCGTACTGGCCCCTGTGACCATAAGGCCCATTGGTTAATCCGGCCCTGCGTAGCAACCTACAAACCACTGCAACAACCCTGCCCTCCAAACTCCTGACCCGCGGGAAAATTGTCAAGTGTTGACCCCGGTAATAAAAAAGTTGGGGACCACTGGTCTACAGAACAGACCACTGTTATACAATGACTTGCCTAATTACCCAAACTTAACCAAAGCATTAACCTAACAATAGTAGCTACTAACTATAAATATATACTGTAAATACTTAAACTACACACATAACCTGAGACAAACCTTACAAGTGCTTTTACATAAGACAGAACAATATTGTGCAAGATAGTGTGCAAAAGAGGCGTTTTAAGGTCGAAAAAAACAAGCAGTGCATTCACAATAACATTGCTTTCCTTATTAAGTACATAAGATGAAGTTTAAGTAAACTGTTCGTGGCATATGGAGAGAAGAGTGTTTCTACAGGTGGTTTGTCAAGCCCACTTACCTGTGTGAGCCACTCTCAAGAAATGCACAATGTTTTTGTTCTAGAGATATGGAGTGATTGTAAGAGTGTCTAGTGCAAATGTGCAAAACTATTGTCGGTTGAAGTGTCTGAGAGATGAAAGAGAGTGTTTCTACAGGTGGTTTGTCAAGCCCACTCACCTGTATGAGGCACACTCAGAACTGCACTACTCATGATAGCTATTCTAATAATTGTAAGAATAATGCATACAATTTAAATCATGATGTTGCGGAATGAGCTAGAAACAAAAAATTGAAGCATTGACAGGCGCGTGTTGGTATGCCGCCATATTGGATGTATTTGAACAGAGATTCAAAAATGGCAAAATGCGACCCATGGCTTGTGTTCTGCAATCAAGGGCAATGAATGAAAGTGAAAGGGTAGAGGTGAAAAAAGCATTGCTTACTACTATGTTTTACATCAAGTTCTTAATGGCTCTAAACAAAATAATTAGAGTAAGACATAAACAGTTTTGGCTTTGACGACATTTCCTCATTAAAAAGTTATAAATAAACTAAAAAAAGAAGACTTCTTGGAATGAGAACTGTTTGTCCTTCTGCAGTGTATGTTGTTCCTCCCTTAGGCAGATGCTACAGATCTTAATGCAATGAAACATTCAGACATAAAAACAGCTTCTTTGCTCAGGCCATTTCCAACTTAAATAGTTAGTGCATCAGTTAATATCTGTTTTCTTAAGCCCATAAACAATCCACAGTATCAGTATTGTGTCTACAGTTTCTGTAACCTTAATTTCTAAATACATTAATCTAAATATGTATATGTTTTTATTAATCATCTGTGTTAAAACAGTTAACAATGCACATAAGCCATCTAGATGTATACTTGTACATATACTTAATATTTTTTCTTCTGGAGAAAGTATTATTTGTTTTATTTCGGCTAGAATAAAAGCAGTTTTTAAATACTTTTAAACCATTTTACAAATTTAAATATCAATATTATTAGCCCTCTTAAGCAATATTTGTTTTGGATTGTCTTCAGATCAATTCACTGTTATACAATAACTAACCTAAATACCGCAACCTGCCTAATTAAGATAGTTAGGACTTTAAGGGCCCTATCATACACTCGGCGCAGTGTGGTGCAAAGCGAGGCGCAATAGTCTTTTGGTAGTTTCAGCTTGGCGCAAGAGTCGTTTTGATGCATTGCGCTACGCTGTTTAAATAGCGAATGCATTAGCGCTCATATGTGCCCCCATAGGCGTTCTGGTTTAAAAAGGGAGGCGTTCTGAGGCGCACTACTTTTTTTCATTAGACCAAAACAAACCCGGTCTAAACTCCAGCGCAGAGTTGCGCCTCGCTTACACACTGCTTAATAGCCTACACACAAGATGTAGAGCAATACGCAAATATCTTTACATATGAAAAAATTTAAATATTAAGGATATATATATATATATATATATATATATATATATATATATATATATATATATATATGATATAATAAGAATAGATATAGGATATAAATATAAAGGATTAAAATATTACAAAACATATTATTTTCTAGCCTACATAAATATGAAAAATCACAGCTTTTATGTCTTCTTCATCTCGGGAGGCTTTTTCAGTTCATTCATAACAATTTGCTTTTGTATAATGTTATTATTATTAGCAGTATTATTTATTATATCCATATTTATATTTGTTTTATTAAAAACAAGCTTAGATTTGCCCACCTGTCAGGTTTTAGACCATATGGGGCACAGCATGTGTTTTAGGATATAACTCAGGTTTTTGACTTCGTTATTATTTTTAATTTATTCGTTTGCTGGAAATTAGAACTGAATTTAGAAATATATAAAAACGAATATTTGCGCTTAACAAACGCAATTAATTATTTATAGACTAATTGATGTCTGTGCGTAAATGTCCCTATCCAAGAGCGAAAGTGAAAGTAGATCCATTATCTCTCATTCTCACGCAGTAGATGCTCTGTTTAACAGTTTTCTGTTTAAAAAACTGTTAACTGTTTGCTAGTGAAATGCTCATTTTTTCCACTTAGACTTACTTTACGTAGTGTAAATAGCAAATGCGCGTATGGCGCGACGCTGCTGGCTCTTAAAGGGAATGGGAGATGAGACTCTGATTGGTTTATTCTCAAAACACACCTACTGTATAACTCATTAAGAAAAATAAACTCAACCCTTTTAGACCATGCACCACGGCGAAAAGCGGATTTTCCCGTCCTTAAATTAGCAAAAATGCGTTCTGACATGCCCTGAAAGCGTTTGCGCCCTGCGTTTTGCGCTCTGCACATGGACCATCAAAATAGAGCCCTAAATGTAATTTTCAATTCAATTCAATTCAATTCAATTGAGTCTGAATTTAATATTTAATATTTATTCAAATATTATGTACTGTCAGCATGGTAAAGATTAAAAAAATCAGTTATTAGAAATGAGTTAATAAAACTAATATGTTTAAATACAGTATGCGTAAAAAAATGGATTTCCGGTTAACAGAAATTGGGGTGGAAATAGTTAGTCTGGATGGCTAATTATTCTCACTATAAAACTCTATACAGTAGTCCCTCAATAAAACATGGTTTACTTTTTCTGCAGCCTCACAGTTTTTTCATGCAATTTCACATGCTTTTTTTTCCTACAGTGCATTGTGCTCTGCATCCTGATTGGCTGTAGACCATTGTCAATCAATCTCCTCCGTGTTGTGTCTCCTGTACTTGAGCAAAAGTACACATATTTAAATGTACTCAAAAAGTACACGTTACCCAACAATTTTACTCAAGTAAATGTAACAAAGTAAATGTAATTCAATACTACACACCTCTGATTACAAATAATATATAAATACATTTATAAATTATACATTATACAAGACTTCTAGTGCTGTGAGGTAAAATCTAGAATTGTGTATGGAGAGCATTGTCAATGCACAGTGAATGTCATGAAATCTATATGAAAAATGTAACAAAATCTAACTGTAAAGGTTTTATATATCTATATATAGATTTTATAAAGAATTCATTAGATTGAATTTAAAATACTTTAGTTATTTTTTTAATTTGTCATGACAACTGAGAACTTGAAAATTGAAATTATAGTAAAAATCACAATTTTGATCAGATAAATCTATCAGATTTCTTTCCCCAAATCATGCAGTGCTATTTCTTGCTCTGCTAAACACCATTTGGGAAGTATTTGAAAAATTTAAAAGAAAAATTCACAGGGGGGCTAATACTTTTGACATCAACTGTTAGCACATCTGACCTTTGGAGTTCGCAAAAAAGAAGTTATTACTATTAGGCGGCTCACTGGCCAGTTTGACTTCATAGACTTACTGCAGATGCTGGGTTCCTTTACTGATGTCGATGTTCAGCTCCCAGTATCGTGGACCTTTCACCTTAATCTAAGTGCAAAATCACAAAAATGCAAGGTCAGACTTGGATAGTTTGCATGAGCTGCAGTTGAAAGTGGTTAAAGTGATTACCCGCTTCAGCAGGTGGAGTTCGGGCAGCATTGTGGGAGCCATCAACTCCACGGTGGTCTCTTCGTACCACTGCGTCTCCTATTAAACACATACCACATGCACGCACAAATAGATTAGAAAGCGAACGCTGTGCATCATGACGTATATGCGTGACTCAAAGCAAAAACGTCTCTATGCGATTGCAGTGAACAGTTGGTTGTCTTCATTTTGCTGGCATCATTTAATTGAAAAGTGGAGTCCTGTGGAAGTGGCAGGAGAGCCGTGGTCGGACACACGGTCAACCTTCAGCAGTCCTCAACTGTTTTAATCGGGATGGCGGGATGTGGAGCAACATGCTAATAATGCAGTTTACAACAACTAAGTATTGTAATACGCTGTTAAGGTAAATGAGAGGAAAATTTCCGATTGGATTTACGAAACATTGTTAATGGATGTTTATTTAGACTGTTATGACGTGTTCAATGGTCATCAGTATTTTAAATACTTGAAAGTTTTAAATATTAATTCTATTTTAGGGAGGTATATTTATATGTGTGTATTATGTCATCTTTATGTCAAATGACAACAACAAATCACCGCTTGTGCAAGATGTTTCTAATGCAGTGTTTATGGGGCCGGGACAGTAAATTTAACATTATTCTCTCTTCTGGCTGCCGTTATCAGTCTCACACTATTTTTTTTCCTTTTTCAGAAAGTCTTGATACCACCATCGTGGAGTTTATCTTTTATTCTTTCAGCAAATAGGACTGTAAAAATATGATTTGTTGTACTCTCCCATTCACTGCGCTCGGAGTTTACCAACTATGGTGACTTCTTCTGCTGAGAAACCAGCAATGTGAAAAGAGTACATAAGACGTTTCTTCTTAACTGACAGTTTCCTCTTATTTTCTAACTTTAGGAAGATAGTAAGGATATTTTGTATTCATAAAAAAAACATCTAATTGTTCTTGTCAGAAATTGCAAAAATAAATAAATAAATAAATAAAAATTCAAAAAAATTTCTTGTTCAAAAATAATCTAAATATCCTTTTTTTTTAAAAATCTTTTGAAAATGTTCGTCAAACATGTAAAAAAAAAACTTTTGATGAATGTTTGTTAAAAAGTCCCTGTGTACTTGTAAAAAAAACATTTGATTGTATAATATTTACATATATATTTAAATTATATAAATAAAATGTTTGTCAAAAAAAAGTTATAAAAATGTTGTCTAAAACTCCAAGAAAATTTTAAAGGTTTATGTAAAAATAATAATAATAATAAAAACTTCTATTCAAACATTCAGAAAAATTAATAAATTAAAATAAATAAGTGAATAAATAAATAATAATAATAATAATATATTTTAAAAACTCGCCGCAGTTGTGGTTGAAAAAAATTATGAGATAAAATTTTAACGTAACCCTAAATGACTGTTGTTTTAAATATATTTTCATTTTATCCATATCAGGAAAAAAAAGATGATTTTAAGAACAAATTTGAGATCTTACTTTTTTTTCCCAAGAACTGCACCAAAAACATATATAAAAATAAAGCTGACATTAAGTACTATGGCCCAATCCTAAATCTATTTTTGTACCTCTACCCCTTAGACCTTGAAACAGAGTGTGAAGGGGAAGAGCCTCAAAATGTACCCCTAACAAATGGCACAGCACTATAATACCAGCACACATCATCATACGTCATCGCGATCTCTTGCTTTATATGAGATTGATGATCGTGACTGCTGTAGTGATTCCAGTTGCATATTTCTTTGGTATTTATCTTCAGGAAATTACTTAAGGCATATATCATGTTATCATAATGATCAGGCACGTGCACAGACAGGGCTCAACCTGAGCAGTGCACATGCCCTTTTTTTCTCTTGGCTAAAAAGTGCCCCTTAAAAATGAATTGTAACTGAAAGCACTACTGGCTGAAACTGTATGCGAGTGTCAGGTTTTCATAGAAAACATGAGGCCTTGCAGCACATGCAGCAAATACCTTGTAGGTGACATCCAGCAGAGCGTAGCAGGGTTTGAGAGAGTCCACATCCACAGGCACCAGCAGACGAGGTTCTGCCGCAAGGACAGCCAGATGACGCAACGCCTGGAGGTGATACCTGGAAAGAAGAACACATGAAACATGTGCTCATAACCTCATGAAACTCAATTCTGAAAAAAATTAATTGAATGTGAGAATGTTTGAAAAGTTTTAAGCTTTTTTTGTATTAGTAAAGATAAAATAAAGGCCTCGCAGAACAGGGTTACCAGCAGAGTTATTATAGTTAAACTAAATATTTCTAATTACTTTAACGCAGGGGTCACCAATCTCGGTCCTGGAGTCCCTGCAGCTTTTAGCTCCAACTTGCCTCAACACACCTGCCAGGGTGTTTTAAGTATACCTAGTAAGATCTTGATTAGCTTGTTCAGGTGTGTTTGATTAGGGTTGGAGCTAAAATCTGCAGGACAACGACCCTCCAGGACCGAGATTTGTTGTACACTTTCTCTTGTTTGGCACCCTTTCGAAAGAGGCTGAAAAAGTGGTACGGTACGGTTTATTTCGGTAAGCTGTACGGTACCTACCACTCAGTGGAAACGGGCCACTATTATAGAAACATAGTGCCTGTCAATTAATTGGAAGGGGCGCACTCCTACAAAATCACTGAGATTTGGATCCTGTTTTAATGTCAAGAAATCTTAAAAAAAGAGACTTATTGCATTTCTATCACTCCAACATGACAGTGGACACACTATACATGCAGACAGTTCTGTCCAAACAGCTTCAAAAGTTGATTTTCATCCTAGGTGCCCTTTAAATTATAATAAATAGTCGCATCTAATCAGTCAAATCTCAAACAAAAAGATGCCTCAGTAGAAACCTTCAAAATACCGATATGAATTAATCGGTGAGGTTTGGTGTATATGAGGGCTTCTGAAGTGGAGATTTATGGCTCAGTGAAGAATAGACTGATTTCACGCGGCCACCTTTCACCTTTCACATTTTCAAAAGCGAAATCGAGGCGCATTGAAAAATATTGATATAGGCGATATTGAAAAATATTTGCAGATATCTCTAACTGAGTTTTGACTCGTCAAAAATCCAATTCAAGATATCTACAACTGTAATTCGACTATTAGTAAATTAATTAGAGATATCTTCAAATATATTTGTAAATATCTCTAAATATGATGAATTAAAGACATCTCCAAATGTATTATGACTAGTCAAAACTCATTTAGAGATCTGCAAATATTTTTCAATGGAAGTCAATGGAGGAATATGACTAGTCAGTCATAATATATTTGCAGATATCTCCAATCTGATTTCGTACTAGTACAATTGTAATGGCAGATACCTCTAATTGTTATTCTGACTAGTCGAATTATAATTATGACTAGTCAAAATATAATTAGAGATATCTCTAAATATATTTATGGAGTCAGAACAAAGATTTAAATGCTAAAAAGGCTTGCCATAGAGAGCGCTTCTGAACAGCGCAGCAGCGATTGCGTAAGCGTGCCGAGGCCCGATATGGTGTGAGCGCGGGCCGTCGGGGGAGACGGGAGGGGGGGGACAAGCGTGCTTTGGCCCGGTTCGAGGCAACTGTACCTAGTGTGAGTACGGCCTCACTCACCGGGTTACATAGGCTGAAGCAGGAAAGCATCCTCACGGTGTTTAACTAGTGCCATGAACTGAAGCCCAGGAGGACATTGAGCTCATCACTAAGATTGTGATCTTGTTTAATGCTAAATTGCTTTTAATTGTTTAAAATAAACTTACTGAATAATATTAAAGTGATGGTTACATCATTTCTGCATTTTAAAATCTCGGCAACAGCTGGAGGTTTACAGTACACAGCATGTTACTGCAATGTTTACAGTGCTGGTCCTATACTTCTGGGTTTCTTTCCACCACAGCCTCGCTTTGGTTCTTTAAAATGGTGGTCGCGTGAAATAAGCGTATCATTTTGGGAAAATAACCTTTAAAAACATGCATTATAGTTGACATCGACAAACACAAATTGATCAAGTTTAACAAAATAAGGTATTGAAAGTGTATTATGGATGTTTTTTTTTTTTTAGATTGATAAAACAATCAATAAAAAGCCAAAATTTAAAAACTGTCAGGTGCAAAGCTTTCGGAAAAAGCCATCTCATCTTTATTAACAAGTCATATAATATTTATAAAACCAAGTAGCTGCAATGCAATATAATGCACATCCATTTACACATTCTGTGTGTGACTCAAGTGTGTAAACACTTTTTTTAGGCTTAGTGTAAACCATTATGACACACAAAGTCTCATTCAGAGTACAAGCGAAAGTGGTTTTCCCTTAGAAGTGAAGACAATAGAGCTGTATTCGCTCGTTGTGACGTGTGTGTGACTGTAGGTCTACCTGTTGTCTGTGCTGTGAGCTGGAAAATGAGGATAAAGTGCACAGAGCAGCGCGGCGATGGCCGAGTTGGAGGTGCTGAGGGTGTATCTGTGGAAATAACACAAAAAGATGTCAGAAAATGAGACTTTATTCTCATTGAGTGAGGAAAATATAAATCAGCAAACAATGCATGCAAAATGACGATGGAAAATCAGCGCAAAGCAAACAATGGACGCACATGCTGAATATTCAATTGCTTCCGCGGGCCATAATTCAGTGTGCGTACGACACACGCAATTGTGTAGCGAGGGGGCAAATTGGTCATCCATTGTTCACAGGTACTATTTGTGCTCTTTCAAAGGCCTCACTTAAAAATAATGGGCGAGTTGAGGAGTGCACTCGAACAGGTTCTGACAGGACGAGAGGCTCTTACTGTGCTTGTTATTGACCTGGTTAGAGGTCAGATTATTTCTCTTTAAAAACGCTCGAGAGTCTGTGTATCAGCCCACCACAACACCAGCAGCTCAGTGCTACACATTCACATGTCTCTCAACATTTATTATATGCCATTTCTCTGATATCTGAAGCAGAACAAAGGGTGTTGCACAAAATACAAATAAAAAACACAACGTCTTGTGTGGCAAAAGTGTTTACTGAGTGCTAAAATTCAAGATTTGAAAGGAAATATCCCTGTACAGTTGAAGTCAGAGTTATTAGCTGAGTTGTGAACGTTTACCAGTTCTTCTACTTCTGTACCAAAAATAAATATTAGTTGTTTATTATTTATCATTTTAATATTTTAACTAGTTTACATTTTTATACAACAGTTCAGTCTGGTTCTCGAATCTGATTGGCTGCTTGCAGTGCCATATTAAGACAATATAAAGACAATAATATTAATAATATTAAAAGTAAAAATAATTGGCCAACTAATCAATAAAAAAGCTCTGTTTTTTATAGTTTATTTATGTAATTATAATAATAAATAGATAACACTAAATATATAATATTAGATAATTAATAAAAGATAATAATAATAGTAATAACTAAAAAAATAATATAAAGCCATCAAAATATCCATTAGTTGCAGTCCAAAGATATTGTCTGTTATTTTATCTTTCGCTAATCAAAGTATGGGCGATGCAGTGGCGCAGTAGGTAGTGCTGTCGCCTCACAGCAAGAAGGTTGCTGGGTCGCTGGTTCGATCCTCGGGTCAGTTCTGTGCGGAGTTTGCATGTTCTCCCTGCGTACGCGTGGGTTACCTCCGGGTGCTCCGGTTTCCCCCACAGTCCAAATACATGCAGTACAGGTGATTTGGGTAGGTTAAATTGTCCGTAGTGTGTGTGTGTGTGTGTGTGTGTGTGTGTGAGTGTGTGTGTGTGGATGTTTCCAGGAGATGGGTTGCGGCTAAAAGGGTTAGGGTTATATATAGGGCTGTGTATAGCGGATAAGTTGCTGGATAAGTTGGCGGTTCATTCCGCTGTGGCGACCCAGGATTAATAAAGGGACTAAGCCAACAAGAAAATGAATGAATGAATGAATAATGAAAGTACATATGAATCAGCAGTTTTGAACGAAACAGTTGAATGAATCATTCAGCAAGCCATTCATTAGGACAGGGACTTGCTGCCGGCTACAGATAATTTTGCATCAAAATTAAAAAAAAAAACTAAATCATATTGTGAAATCATTTTTTTCAAATGGTGCACACACTTTGCTACGATTAAAAAAGCTCTAGATATTTTATAGTTAGGTCATGTAACTTTGATAATAAATAAATAGATAACACTAAATATATAATAGATCATTGATAAAAGATAATAATAATAATAGGAAAAATAATTGGCCAACTAATCGATTAAAAAAGCTCTATATTTTTTATAGTTTGTTTAATTAATTATGATAATAAATAACACTAAATATAATAATAAATAATTAATAAAAGATAATAGTAGATAATTATTAAAAGATAATAATAATAATAATAATAATAATAATAATAATAATAATAATAATAATTGGAAAAATAATCAGCCAACTAATCTATAATCAAAATATCTGTTAGTTGCAGTCCTACAATATTGTCTGTTATTTTATCTTTCGCTAATGAAAGTATAAATGAATCAGCTGTTTTGAATGAATCAATTGAATGAATCATCCAGCAAGCCATTCAATAGAATAGGGACTTGCTGCCAGCTACAGGTGGTTTTGCATCATGATTGAGAAAAAAAACTAAATCATATTGTGAGATCATTTTTGTCAAATGGTGCACACACTTTGCTAAGATTAAAAAAAGCTCTACATTTTTTATAGTTCATGTAATTAGCAAGTACAAATTTGGGTATTCTCACGCTGTTCAAAACCCATGATTTTAATTGCATGTTTAATTATAATTATAATGAAGAAGCATAACCACAAATCTGATGTAAATTCTGATCCTCATGCGCGTGACCGAATACAACTTGTGAATGCAGAACCATGAAAGACATGAGGATGAATAGACTTCCTTTAATGCTTTATGAAGGCCAGAATGAAATGTGGGGTCAAAGGATAAAGAAGTGAGTTCATAACCGGAGGAAGTCCTTTGACAAAAGCTATTATAATGTGTAAAGTCAGGGTTCAAAAATACAATAATGCTTTATCTGTGGTTATAAATAGCATGAACTGTAGCATGAACATGTTCTCACGCTTTGCTTGGCTGCATGCCAACAACCTTTGTCCTGAGAAATCATTCATTTCTGTATGTAACAAACCAAAACCTAAACACCAACTTCCAGGTTTACTATCTTGAAATGAATGAGTTTTTTTAAAGAGATAAAACTTCTCACAAATATCTGTTAAAAAATAAACAAGATACTTTCTCAGGATATGCACATCCACAGGCTTTTATGAATAAATACACATACATTTAACTGTAAAGTGTTGGATAGTTTGGTTAAAGCTAGGATACTCTAAATCACAGGTGTCAAACTCAGTTATTAAAAGGCCGCAGCTCTGCACAGTTTAGCTTTAACCATAATTAAACACACCTGATAAAACTAATGGAGTCCTTCAGGCTTGTTTGAAGCCCACAGATAAGTGTGGTGGAGCAGGGATGAAACTAAAATGTGCAGGGTTGCAGCTCTCAAGGAGTTTGAAACCACTGCTCTAAATACTCTGCACTATGGTTCACCTTACAGTCTCCCTAGGATTTTGCAAACGGTAAGGATAAAAAAAAAAAAGAAGATTTTTGTGCATTTTCACAGCAAAACACAAGGATTGAAGCAAATAATGTGATAGATTTTGAGAAAAGCTATCAAGAATCAAGGTCAAATACCAAAAAAAAAAAAAAACCAATGCAAAACTTATATATATTAGGGCTGTCAAAATGAATTGTTTCTTCGCGGACAATTGGGAATCGGTTCTGTAAAAATCATAACCAGTTGTTATGTACTGACGTAATTTATCTCATATGCGCTATGTCGCCGTAGCTTACTATGGTGAGGGAGGCAAGCCAAGTACTTACAAGACTCCAACAGTGTATGGAAAGCATCATTAATGCGCCGTGATGCACAGAGATATCGAATTGAATCGAATCGATGGCATGAGACCAGTGAGACCAGTGTAGGTTCACACCTCTGATATATATATATATATATATATATATATATATATATACATAAACACATTTAAAAAAACGTCCCCGACTGTATAGTCATTATTATGCATCTAATTACTGCGTAAACTAGCTAGTTGCTATTAATTAAATGCATAATAACCATTAACCTTTTCCTGAAGCAATGCAATTGGTGTTTTTAGGTGCAAAGATGCTTAATGCTTGAATGCCTCCTAATTCCGCGCACGTGGTGAACATTTTGTTGTGAAAACTGGTCGCACGACATCAGTTTTATGCACTCCCAAATATATTTTGACGTCGCATAGATAAAATTTTGGGCGCATATGCGACCAAAACGGTCGCAATTTTGAGCCCTGTCTCATATTCACAGCTATAAATGTACTGAAACCAGTGTTCCCAAACACCAGACCCGCTGTTGGTTATAGGAGGATTACATTAACGTTATAGCCATTTTGCGAGCTAGTGCGGCGTGTGCCTGACTGGAGTAGTGCTTGGAGGTGGGCAAAAAAGGCAGCATGTTGCCTGTCACGTCATTTTGGGATGCGTTGTTGCACTAAATACATCATATTTTGTACACTTATTCTCTTTTATCGTTTTAGATATTAGTCTGAATCGTTCGGTTTGTAATGCATACCGAAAAGAAAGTGTTGTACTGAACGGTTCAATACGAATATGCGTATCGTAACACCCTTAATAAGAACTATAAAATGCTGGTAAGTATGGATAAAGATGGACAGCTACAGATTAATGCTTAGTGAAAACTCAAGTTTGATAGGCGTTACTAAATAAATAGACAATAATAGCAATAAAATGCAGCTAAGTATGGGTAAAGATGGATAGTTACAAAATAAAATGCATGGTAAAAAAGTTTAAGTTTGGCGTTTGCTACTAAATAAATGCAGAATAAATACAAAATGCTGGTAAAAACAGGTAAAGATGGATCGCATATTGTATAAATGCTTAGTAAAAACATGAGAGTTTGGTAATTGTTACTAAATAAATGCATAATAACTGCAAAATGCTGGTAAGTACGTGTAAAGATGGATTGCATATTGATTAAAAACATAGTGAAAACATGAGAGTTTCATGGTTGTTACTAAATAAATATAAAGAATGGGCAATGCTACTGATTAAAATCATAATAATGACTATAAAGTGAACTGTGGCACTGAATAATGTGGATAAATAAACTCTGAGCTCTTCTAAAATCAATTTTCCACATCTGTCAATGACGTTATGATCTGTGTGAAACTGAAACTCAACCGACCTCCCTCCGCCCAGGAAGAGCAGACCCAGGGCCATGTGATGAGCCATGTGGAACCCATAGTTCATCTCTCCAAAGGTGCGTTTGTGGAGAAAGCGGCACAACTGCAGCACTTTCAGGTTCCCTGAGCCGGACATGACCATAGAAACTGCCAGAAGAACCATGCTCAAACACGTCTGCAGGTTATACTGGCCTGTCTGGAGGACAACAGAACTTTGTGTTAGCCATGATGACTTTAATGCAAACAAAAAGGCAAATTATGTAAATGTTCGGTATGAATGTGCATCATGGTTGCAGAAAATCTGGTAGGGACGGCCTCTTTAGGGTTAATTTAAAAAGAAAGTTATAGATATTTCTAAATTTCACAATACTAATAAATAAAATCTGAAACTCATGATATTTTCTTTTCTGCATCTGTAAACAGCAATGTTATATATATATATATATATATAACATTGCTGTTTACAGTTGAACATCTCTAAAACAGTAGTACCAGATCAGGTAAAGCACCCGAATGTCATAATTGAGGGGGCATTTTAATCAGATAGGGGGGCACTACACGTGGTAATTTAGGTCCCATAAGTTCCTTTTATTTAGACTATTTATTCACATTTATTATTTCTTTGCATTGCTGCCTAAGTTACTGACTAAAGGCAGTTGTATACTTCTTTTATAGTAATAATATTGCAAAACTGATTTTTTCAAAGTAGGTAATGCAACGTTACCTTTTGTGTACCTACTACCTTTGGTGTAAAATTGTACTGTTCAGTCCAAATAACCAAATATGCACAGCTGAATTTGACATAATATATAGTTGAAGTCAGAATTATTAGCCCCCCTGAATTATTAACGCCCCTGTTTATTTTTTCCCCAATTTCTGTTTAATGGAGGGAAGATTGTTTCAGCACATTTCTAAGCATATTAGTTTTAAAAACGTATATCTAATATCTGATTTATTTTATCTTTGTCATGATGACAGTAAATAATATTTTACTTAATATTTTTCAAGACACTTCTATACAGCTTAAAGTGACATTTAAAGGCTTAACTAAGTTAATAAAATGAACTAGGCAGGTTAGGGTAATTAGGCAAGTTATTGTATAACGATGGTTTGTTCTGTAGATTGTCAGAAAAAAAAAATTCTTAAAGGGGCTAATAATTTTGTCCCAAAAATGGGTTTTAAAAAATTAATAACTGCTTTCATTCTAGCCGAAATAAAACAAATAAGACTTTCTACAGAAGAAAAAATATTATCAGACATACTGTGAAAATTTCCTTGCTCTGTTAAAAATCATTTTGGTAATATTTAAAAGAGAAAAAAAAAAATCAAAAGGGGGCTAATAATTCTGACTTCAACTGTATGTGTGTGCACATACACTGTATGTGTATGTGTGTGTGTATATATTTATTTTGTATATGGGATACGCACACATACATATAAACCAAACTATACAAAATAGTTTTGTTGCATAGATATTAAAATTTACATTTCATTTGAAACATACATATATTTTACATCTATATATAAAAAAAACTAATTAACAGCATAAACGTGTGTATTTATATACAGTACACATACACACATAATAAATATACAGAGTAGACATATATTATGTCAAAACAATCTTTTATTTTGGATGCGTTTGATCACGATTAATTTTTGCCCAGCACGAAAATCAGTGCTTTAAAAGTAGACTATTTATAGCTAGTTTTATTTATAGTATGTCCATTTAAATGTCTGCTTTTAGCTTCAAGTCTTTGTTCCCAGAATGCTATAAAAATTATTGCAGTCGAACGATTTACGATTAATTGCATACAAAATCAAAGTCTATGTGTAATCACTATGTGTAAATAGATGTATATCTAGATATATATACATACATGTAAATATATATATATATATATATATTTGTACATACATATATACATGTAAATAGATATATATACATATAGATGTATATATCTATATATATATATATACACACACATACACACTCACCGGCCACTTTATTAGGAACACCTGACCAACTGCTCGTTAACGCAAATTTCTAATCAGCAATTCACATGGCAACAACTTAATGCATTTAGGCATGTAGACATGGTCAAGATGATCTGCTGCAGTTCAAAGCGAGCATCAGAATGAGGAAGAAAGGTGATTTAAGTGACTTTGAATGTGGCATGGTTGTTGGTGCCAGACGGGCTGGTCTGAGTATTTAAAAAATTGCTGATCTACTGGGATTTTCAGACACAACCATCTCTAGGGTTTACAGAAAATGGTCTGCAAAAGAGGAAATATCCAGTGAGCGGCAGTTCTGTGGGCACAAATGCCTTGTTGATGCCAGAGGTCAGAGGTGAATGGCCAGACTGGTTCCAGACTGATAGAAAGGCAACAGTAACTCAAATAAGCAGCACTCGTTACAACCGAGGTCTGCAGAAGAGCATCTCTGAACACACAACACATTTAACCTAGAGGCGAATGGGCTACAGCAGCAGAAGACCACACCGGGTGCCACTCCTGTCAGCTAAGAACAGGAAACTGAGGCTACAATTCACACAGGCTCACCAAAACTGGACAATAGAAGATTGGAGAAATGTTGCCTGGTCTGAAGAGTCTTGATTTCTGCTGCGACATTCGGATAGTAGGGTCAGAATTTGCCGTCATCAACATGAAAGCATGGATCCATCCTGCCTTGTATCAATGGTTCAGGCTGGTGGTGGTGGTTAAATGGAGTGGGGGATATTTTCTTGGCACACTTTGGGCACATTAGTACTAACTGAGCATCATGTCAACGCCACAGCCTACCTGAGTATTGTTGCTGACCATGTCCATCGCTTTATTACCACAGTGTCTCCATCTTCTGACGGCTACTTCCAGCAGGATAACACGCAATGTCAAAGTGCGAATCATCTCAGACTGGTTTCTTGAACATGACAATGAGTTCACTGTACTCAAAGGCCTCCACAGTCACCAGATCTCAATCCAATAGAGCACCTTTAGGATGTGGTGGAGAGATTCGCATCATGGACGTGCAGCCGACAAATCTACAGCTACTGCGTGATGCTATCATCACAATATGAAGCTAAATCTCTGAGGAATATTTTCAGCACCTTGTTGAATCTATGCCACAAAGGATTAAAGCAGTTCTGAAAGCAAAGGTGGGTGCAAACCGGTACTGGTAAGGTGTACCTAATAAAGTGGCCAGTGGGTTTATATTTTATTTCGGATGCTTGACGGCTCTATTGAATGATTAAAATCTTATTTTTACATCAAAGGCACCAAACAATTTTTCATCCTCTTATTCCATACCTTTTAACCCAATAATTTCAGCCAAAACACTTTGCGAACACAGACATACATACCACTGTAGCAGTAGAGGTGGTCAAACACTGCATGAAGTTTTTGGCAAATTTGTACTAAAAGAGAATTAAAATGTTAGGAATATTCTGAGAACATGAAAGAAACATATCATGCGTTTGTAGGAGGTGAGTAAATATATTCTTACTAAGCAGTCAAAGGCGTCTGAATTAGCAGAGCCAGCAAACCGAAATCCCACAGCCAAACAGCCTCCGGCGATTATATAGTCATGAGCCTGACTGTGGAAACAGTGAGAGAAATGTCAACTTTATTTGTTTCATCCACACATCAAATGCATTAAACTCAATGGAAATTCATATCAGACAGGAGGAAAATTATTCGAAACACCTCCACATGAGAAACCGTCTGTGGGTTTGAAGATCTCCTATAAATCACATGTCGATCGAAAACAGACCATGCAGAATTAAAATTGCAACTCACACCAAAGTCTCCATATTGAGGTCCTCCGAGACGGGCGTCTGGTCCTGGTTTCCGATGTTTTCTTGGATGATCTGAAAATGTAACGGTTATTTTTTATCATATTAAAAGAGTCTAAAACAGGGGTGTCCAAACTCATTCCTAGAGGGCCGGTGTCCTGCTAAGTTTAGCTCCAACTTGCTTCAACACACCTGCCAGAAGGTTTCTAGTCATAGACTGCAAAAGATATGGAGTAGTGTCCGTGATGTCACCCATAGGCTTCTGAAATACGCAAAAGAAGCTACAAGTAGGTGTGGCCAACCGTCGTTATCATCTTACTAACCGGAGGATACCAAACAAGGGCAAAGAGGCGGAGCGTGAGCGGAGCTACAGGCGCCTGCTAGCACTTTCCTTAGACGGGCTTTTCTTTAGAGGGAAATGCTTAATTCTTCATTACTCACGATTCCTTTGTGTGTTCTGAACACATGTGCTTGGTTGTAAGCTATATCAATAAAGTGTTTAGTCTTTTAAAAACACTGCTGTAATACATTGAGCAACTAAACATTGTTCTTATGACGTTTTTCAACCGTGAATTAATTTTCAAACATTTAAAATATAGTCTGTGATAGTAAATGCAAGGCTAATTATGAAATCCAGGCATAATACTGTATGACAAGCTTCAGATGACTGTTATAGAGCCTACAGCTAATCAATCTGTCAGATTCTGGAGTGCATTACAGGTCTAAAGAAAAATCTAAATGATCTTAAACAAAATAAATAAAATTCTAGAGATGCATTACAAGTGTACAATTTCACTCACCAGGGAAATGTAGGCCACGCGAATAGTTTGTGAGCATATTTAAGTGCACACAGCATGCCATATCATCTAATAATTGTTGGAAACAATTCAAAAAGGCAACTGACTGTGTAAAGCCACATAAAACAACACAATAATACGATGAATATGCAGAGTTCAGCGGCTAATCAGCCGGAATCAATAAAGGTGACATGACGGCGATCACAGAGACCTAGCTGTCACTCAAGTGGCCACACCCTTAAATATGCAGACTTAATACAATTTAATATAAACTAAATGGATGAGTTATAAAAAAACAAATCAGCCCACTCAGTTGTCATAAAAAGTAATATTAGCTATATAAACCAAAATCGTTCTTTGGCTGTAAACACCTTTTTTTCTGCTATAAAGTTGGCCATTTTAACATTAGGGTCAACAGAAATGTGCTCTATTATGGAGTCAGGACTAGCGTAATTTTGATGAATTGCAGTTTCAGTTACTTCCGTATTGGCTTCACGAGTGAGAGCGGGAGGTTGCCGCTTGTTTCTAGTATTTCAAGTAAGGGCTTGATTAGCTGGTTCAGGTGTGTTTGATTAGGTTTGGAGCTAAACTCTACAGGACGCCGGCCCTCCAGTACAGAGTTTGGACACCCCTGGTCTAAATGTTGCCCCTAACAACAAACAAATTAAAGTATAAACTCAAGGCTAGAACAAAGTTGAATAGAATTTATGACAGCACATAATATGTGACTAGATATTTTACAAGATACTGGTGTTCAGCTTCAAGTGACATTTAAAGGCGTAACTACAACCTCAAATCAGAAAAAGTTAAGATTTCCAAATTTACATTGACAATATGAACAAAAATATTTCATGCTTTGCCCGGTCAACTTCATTTAATTTGTAAACATACATCTATTCCTATGGTTCAGACCTGCTACACACTCCAAAAAAGTCAGGACAGGAGCAGTTTAGGGCTGGTAATCAGGTAAACTGGTTAAATTATGTGATTGGAAACAAATGATTGTAATTATGATTTGGGTTTAGTCCTTTATTGAGCAAAGACCACCAGGGCCTTGAATCACCAGTTTGCCATCAAATATGTGAGAAATATGATTGACATGTTTAAAATGTTCCTCAAAGAAAGAGAAGACGACATTTTGGATATTTCACCTTCAACAGAGTTGAACATAATTAAAAGATTCAAGTAATCTGGAGGAATATCAGCGCGTAACGAACAAGGGCACAAGCCCAAGCTGAACAACCGTGATCTCTGAACCCTCAGGCGGCCCTGCATCAAAAATCCTCATTGATCTATCAGTGATATCACTACTTAGGCAAACCTTTGTCAAGCACCACAACATGTAGTTGCATCCACAAATGCCAGTTAAAACTGTACTGTGCCAAAAGGAAGCCCTATGTTAACAGTGTCCAGAAGCGCTGTCGACTTCTCTAGATTCCGAGGCATCTGGGATGGACCATCACACAGTGAGAATGTGTACCATATATATATATATATATATATATATATATATATATATATATATATATATATATATATATATATATATATATATAAATTTTTATTTTTAATTTTTGGAAGAAATGGAAACAGTGTGCTCTAGACCAGTGGCTCTCAAAATTTTATTTTATCAAGTACCACCTCAGAAAAAAAATTGTCTCTCCAAGTACCACCAAAATGAGCAGCATTGAAATACAGTAGCATAGTAGGCCCAGTAAAGCAGCTACAACTCTGCACAGTTAAAAAACGTGGCAGATTACCTCAGAAATATAGGCTATATGTCATATGGCATATTATATACATCATTTTTGATCAATTTTGAAATGTGTGTAGCTTGTACATGACATATTTCATTTCTCCGTGTACCACTAGAAGGAAGCCTGTGTACCACTAGTGGTACACGTACCACAGTTTGAGAACCACTGCTCTAGACCAAAGGGGGAAAAAAGGATCATCCAGACTGTTACCAGCAACAAGTCTAAAAGCCAGGGTCTGCCATGGTATCGGGTTGTGTCTATGCCCTTGGCCTAAGTAACTTCTGTGATGGCACTATTAATGCTGAAAAGCACAGAGACTTTGAAGCACAATATGCTGCCTTCCTTTCCATGGACTTCCATGCATAATTCAACAAGACAATGCAAAATCACATTCTGCACACATTACAAAATGACTGCAGAAGAAAAGGATACAGGTACTTGACTGGCCTGTCTGCAGTCCTGACCTGTCTACATAAGATAATGTGTGTACAGTTGCCCACTTTAAGACTTGTTTGCAGGAAGAATGAGATAAAATTATACACTTCGTCACTTGGTGTCTTCAGTCCCTAAACGTCTTTTAAGTGTTGTGAAAACAATTAGCAACATTACAGTGCTAAATGCTTTACTGTTACAACTTTTTTTTTTAAATTTGTTGCAAGAACAAAAATTGGAATAGGTGTTTATTTTGGAGGGAAAAAAACAAAAAAATCATGAGGAACACATTACAAAATGTTTGTTGTATTGTCTGCAATGAAATCCAAGTCAAAGTAAATTTAAAAATAACTACTTTATATTTTAATTTGCATTTTCCATACTGTCTCAACTTACTTGTCTTTGGAGTTGTAGGTTAATTATGCAGGTTAGGGTAATTAGGCAAGTAATTGCGTAACAGTGGTTTGTTCTGTAGACAATTGAAAAAAATACTGCTTAACGGGACTAATAATTCATTCATTCATTCACTTTCGGCTTAGTCCCTTTATTAACCCTTTATTATGGTGGTTCTTTCTGCGCCACAGCAGAAAGAACCACCAACTTTTTACACAGCGCATGCCCTAACAGCTGTAACCCAGTACTGGGAAACATCCATACACTCTCATTCACACACATACACTACGGACAATTCACCTATACCACATGTCTTTAAACTTGAGGACAACCAGAGCACCCGGAGGAAACCCACGCCAACATGGGGAGAACATCCAAACTCCACACAGAAAAGCCAACTGACACGGGTGAGGCTTAAACCAGCGACCTTCCTGCTGTGAGGCGATATCGCTACCCACTGCGCTGCCCGGGGGTAACAAAATTGAAATTACAATTTTTTTTAAACTGCTTTTATTCTAGCCGAAAAAAATAAATAAATAAGACTGTCTCCAAGAGAAAACGATATTATCGAAAATACTGTGAAAAATGTCTTGCTCTGTTAAACATCATTTAGGAAATATTTAAAAAAGAAAACCAAAATCACAGGAGGGTGAATAATTTTGACTTGAACTCCATATGCTGAGCACTGAAACTTTTCAAGATATTTCAATGACCATCCTCTCCCTCCTCCATTACTCAATGACCTGCACAACCACACACCACGGTTGAAGTGACCGAACAACTCTGTGTTTTGCAACATGAGCATTGCCAAATATTTGACCAACCTTTGAACTAAATGAAGGGGGGGGGGAGAAAACATGACCTGAAGCAAAAATGTGTTTCCTCTTTCTGAAGAAAACACACGCAATGATGGCTGATTCCCTGCAGTGTGTTCGAGCTGTAACTAACAGTACCTGAGGAACATTGCTGGTCACCCAGTCGGCATTGGGAAAGATCTCGTCCCACATGATAAGGCATCTGGCCAGCGTCTGTACAGAGAACAAAGCGAGAGATCAACATTTCACACTGAATTGCGAAAAAGGAAATGTTTGTACATCACTTTCTTTAGAAGCGTTGCTGTTTATAGGCTCTGTTCCAAATCCTAGTGAACTGCATAGTCTATATTAGTGATGGGAAGTTCGAATCATTTTACTGACTCGGATCTTTGAGTCTTGTTTATCGAGATGAACGAATCTTTTTTCGAGTCATTTCGTTTATTTGGTTTAATTTGCAAAAATATTATTAAGATGTTACAAATTGCTTCCAAACACATCTACAACTAGCCCAAAAGGTTGATCACACGACAAATAAGTCATAAGTAGAATACTATAAGGAGAAAATAATAATTCAATGTTGACCTGCTCTTTTGTCTATGAAGATATTGTTGTCTCTTTGCTCAGCTCACCTCTTCATGTCTTCAAATGTCAGTGGTTCGTTCACGTTACACTGACAGTCACATATAATCTTAACCAATGTACACAGTCGGAGCTGATAGGAGCCATGATAATTAGTTCACCTTTCAAGTCTTCTGGTTCTTGAGTCGTTCGTTCATCACGTGACAGAATGACTAAAACCCGAGGACTAGAGATGAACGGATCAATTATTTTTCCGGCTCTAAACGCATATTATTGGCCCGAGAGGAACGAATTACTCAAATCTGATATAGGACTCGAGAGATGAACAGTTTAATTCTTTTTCCAGCTCTAAACGCATATGATTGGCCCGTGAGGAACGAATGACTCAAACTCGATAGAGGACTCGAAAAACAAACGGTTCAATTCTTTTTCCGGCTCTAAACTCATATGATTGGCGTGTGATGAACAAATGACTCGAAAGAGGACTCGTAAGATGAATGGATCAATTCTTTTTCCGACTCTAAACGCATATGATTGGCTTCTGCCTTTCCGCGATGAATGATTCAAAAGTCTTAAAAGGAATGATAGCACCTGAACAAATGTGCGCACGCGCGGATGAACGAATCACTCCCTGAGAGGACTCGTAGTTCCCTAATCACATTGAAGATTTGTTCATAATGAACTAATCGTTCATAAACGACCCATCACTAGTCTATATACCAGTTTCCTTGTAAGGATAAAATTTTGAATAAAAAAATTGCAAATAGATACTCTAGATACTAAAGAGCCTTTGATTATGAACAAGATTTGACGAGAAACTGAAGTACGCGATGATATAAAAAAAAATCATTCATTCATTTAGGCGGAAGTGATGCTTTGAATGTTGATATCTCCCGAATGTAAATTGTCACTCGCTTGAAGCAGCACTAGCTAAATATCCTTAAGGCTAACACACTGATACTAAGGCTGTACTCACACTATGTACAGTTGCCTCGAACCAGTTACAGTTTCCCCCGACGGCTCGCACTTACATACAATCGGGCTTCTGCGCGCTTACGTCATCGATGCTGCGCCGTTCAGTGAGCGCTCTCGCTCAGCACAGTGGAGATTTATAGTTATATCCCTTCAGTCGTTTGTTATGCAGTGACATGCAGTCAAATATTTTGCCAAACAGTCCTTAGGGATGCGGTGACACGCAGTCAGATATTTCGCCGAACAGATCCACCCCTTTTGCCGCTCATAAACAATCATAAAGCTCTCGTGCTGCAGGAATGAGGAGGTCTGCTGAAGGTGCAGCTGTCGTGCAGTGAGGGGTTTGCGTCTTTAATAAACTACGGCAGTTTGCGTTCACTGAACAGTAAGTTTCGCTTTCAGTTTCGGGCTTAGGCGTGTTTTGCACTCACACTACAAACATACTGCACCAAAGCACAAGCTCAGGCACACCTCTTCCAACTGGGCCAGGGCCGGCCAAGTGAACCGTGCTTGAGCCCAATTCGGCGCACTCACATTTCTCAAACGATCCAGGAAACGGGCCTGGGCACAGTATGGATGGCATAGTGTGAGTAGGCCCTTACAAGTAAAATACTTTATTTTAAATTCATGGGACCTTTAAAAGATCCCCTTTAAAAGCTCAGTGGGGCCTATTGCTCAAATATGCACATAAAAACGGATTTACAATGATTCAGGTTTGACAAATTTAGGTGCTATTGTGCATTTTGTGCAATTCAGCGATCAGCGAACTGACTACTGAACTAGGGAGCCGATTGAGACGCACCCATAGTCTGCTGGTCAAAAAAACAACCTGAAAAGGAAGTGATGTCCATTAACACACACAGCAGGGTGGAAAATGACCCCATATCTGACCTTAAAAGTCATCGTAAAACATGAGAAGAGTTGGTAAAAGTCATGACATGAGGTGTAAATGTGCAGGAGCCCATGAGCCCAGAGGCCAGAATGAGAAGCTGTAGTGTTTTCTCACCCTCAGCAGCAGGAACTCAGGCTTGATGAAGTCCAGCAGGAACATGGTGTCTGGGGCTTTCAGCCAATCAGCAACGGACCTGCAGGAGGCCGGAGAAACAGGTGTGAATGCAAAAGAGCAGAGCAAGCCGGATGAAGCCCGCTTTCATCTCACACTGCTGAATATGTGGAATAAGTTGGCCTTTTTATACACAAAAAAAAATTGGCTTTCGGCATTCACAGTTTAATGTTTTTTTGACTTTAAAGGTGAAGTGTGCGATTAAAAATATTAAAAATAATAATGCTCAGCTTTTTAGGTAAGCTTAATTGATTTAGAATTTAATTTTTTTAAGAGTTTAACACTGAGATTATTTCAAAAATAGCTCAGTTTTTTATCTGAAATGAGTGAATGATAAAACAAATCAAACTCACCTATTATTTGTTTTGAGGTAAATCATGGCCAGAGCAAGTGTAGCCCCAGGACAAGTCACGTCTACATTGATGGTGTCACCTTCCTATTAAAAACACAAACAGTTCATCTGTTTAGCCTTTTCACCAATACTAGATAATGAAAGATATGTTCAGCAAACTATTATACTACTCACTGGTATTAAGCCAATTGATTAAAAACATGTACAATTGAAATGAATATAAATTTCTGTAGATGGTATTAGTTATGATGTAATATTTTGTTACTGGAAACAGTCGATCATCTGTGTTTATATATCAAATCAACCTCTTTTTTATGTTTTTACAGCAAACAATTTCATGAGCTCAAAAAAATCTCATTATTTGTCATTTTAAATCTTTATTATTTTAATTAGGATTTTTATTAGTTCTGTTTTGGTAACTATTTATATTGTGTCTAGACCAGTAGACCTTCTTTTCGGCTTAGTCCCTTAATGTTGTTATATTTTGATATAAATATATATGTCATGCTGAATAATAATGGCTTATAATTTCACCAATATTTTGCCATTTTAATCACCAAAAGTATTTGTACTATTAAAGCACCCTACTTAAAACACCCTACTTGCAAAATTTGTTAGTAATAATAATAATAATAATAATATTATAAAATAATATGAAAAAATAAAATAATAGTAATAATATTAAAAAATAATATTATTTAAGAAATAAAATATTCACAACAATAATAATACCAAACGCACTAGACACCCTACCTGCAATAAACATGTATTTGATAATAATAGCAACAATAATATTAATAAAAAAATAATAATAGTAATTATACAAATGAAAATAATGATAATAATATTAAATATAAAATTATTAAAACGTAATAAATATAATAATAAATAAAATAATAGTAACAATATTTAAAAATAAGATTTAAAAAATTAACAACAACAACAACAATAATGAATACATTATCGACACCCTACTAAAAAATTTATATGTATTTGATAATAATATTAAATATTATTAATACTAAAATTATTACGCCTTCCACTGCCCCTCTTCCAAACGGTTGGTCATGTTTTTACGGTTTTAAATAATGACTGTTAAAGTCCTTAAAAAAACGACTGTTTAAAATACTAGCTTACACACACAGCATTGCTGGTTTACAAAAAAAATAAAAAAAATCAAGCAAGCATCCTGTTGCATTACTACAACACTTGATTTTGGTTTTATTGCAAAAAAACAGGGAAACATGTTAATGAGAATATTTTATCTTAATATTAAAATATTCTAATTAAATTGGTCTTACAGTTTATATTTTCAGGTTTTTCATAGTAACAGACATATCAACCATTTGGTAGAGGCTGAAATTTCAGAAATTATGAGATGTGTTGAAAAAAATGCATCGAGTCTTTTAACTTTAAAAGAAATTAAGAGATAAGAAATGCAATCCATACATTTTTTTTCTTGGTGGGGTAGTTAAAGTGATAAAATATTAAATAATAATAATAATAATAATAATAAAAATGAACCGAATAATAGTTATACAGAAAATAATAATTATAAAATAATAATGATACTAAGTGCAATTATATTCAGTAATACTATTAACAACATTATCAATTATAATAATAAAAATTAATGAAATTGTATAATTGGAAATTATATTAAACAAAATAATAATAATAATAATAATAATAATAATAATAATAATAATAATAAACATTTATTATTATTATTATTATTATTTATTATTATTATTATTATTATTATTATTATTATTATTATTAAGAAATGCAATCCAAATAAAAAAAAATTTGGTGGGGTAGTTAAAGTGATGAAATATTAAATAATAATAATATTAATTAAATAAAATAATAGTTACAGAGAATATAATAATATTTATTATTATTAAAATTATTATTATTATAGTTTAAATTATATTCAATAATAATAACAATATTAATAATATTAATAATAATAATAAATACAATTATATTAATTGAAATTATATTAAACAAAATAATAATAATAATAATACAAATAAAATTAATACATTTATAATTATTATTACTGTTATTATTACAAGAGTATTCAATGTATTTTTAATTTAGAAAATTTGTTTGATAAAGACCCCAAAATGGGGCATCTTTCATGTACTGTAGCTATTTCTGAAACAAAATATGGTCATTTACCGATGCCACATATTTCTTCAGAAGCATAACTTGGTTTACTCTTACGAGAAATTAAACTGTAAAACAAACCACATGTGAGCCGTGGCATGACTATGAAAGAGAGAGAGAGAGAGAGATATTTATAAATGCCACAAACTAAGAGGTAAAGAGAAAACAGATCTGTATTAAGTTTTTTATAAATATATATATGCATGTATTCTATTGCTTTATGTATACTGCATATATTCCTTTCTATTTTATGATATATTATTATTGTTTTCATTAATGTTGCTATTACTACTATTTTTATATTGGCTTTTTTACCCTCCTCTGAACACTTTGGTAATATGCACCATTGTATGTCATGCCAATAAAGTGAATTTAATCGACTAGAAAGAGCTTTAGATGAGCGTCAGTATTAGTGGACTCCACCTTGATCTGATAGCTGGGAGATTTGTGTTTCTCTCTGTTGATGCCAGCATGAGTGCGGCGATGACCTCCCACCATGTACTGATAGAGCTGCTCGGGCACGTTCAGGTCACTCATCCCGATCAGGTTACTGCCGTGCTGAAGAGAAAAACAGGAGAAAACGCAGACTCAGCATGGAGAAAACATTACTTACAGATTCTCACAGATGAACACTATTCCTGATAAATACTACTTTACAAATAACCATATACACTGCAAAAAAAAAAAAAAAACGAGTCTCGTTTCTACTCCAAATATCTAAAAACTCCTCAAAAATCAAGAAGCATTTTTTTCCAGGAAGAGTAAAATAAATGAAAAGATTTGATGTAAAAGCCGCTAAACGCCACTTCCACTAAAAATGAGCTAATGGCATTGAGTGAAAGCTTTAGGCACATAGTACACTATCAACAAATAGATTTGCTTCAAATCATCTAAAATCGCAGCGTTAGCGCAATCAGAAATAACAGTTTGTTGGCAAAAGCTGCTAAACGCCACTTGCCTTTGACGGCAAAAGCTGCTATATCCCGAGAACCAATCAGAAGGTGTGAATCGAATCACGTTTTCAACGTAGCAGCGCACTGATACGCCGGCTTTTAAAAGGAGACCAGTTTACTCCGCTTACAATTTCGATTTTAAAAGACGGAGTTTGATGAACTGGATGTGCCTGCCTGACTGTCAGTGGATGGCAAACGAAAACATCCCCTCACCTCAAAACTCTGTGTACTATAAGAAAAAGAAAACACACTGTACAGTCGGAGGTGTTGCATGCATTCATAGCGTTTGTTTGCACAGCTACGCTACTTTGAGTGAGTTAAATAATAATAATAATAATAAAAATGAACCTAATAATAGTTATACAGAAAATATTAATTATAAAATAATAATGATACTAAGTGCAATTATATTCAATAATAATATTAACAACATTATCAATTATAATAATAAAAATTAATGAAATTATATAATTGGAAATTATATTAAACAAAATAATAATAATAATAATAATAATAATAATAATAATAATAATAATAAACATTTATTATTATTTATTTATTATTATTATTATTGTTGTTATTATTATTATTATTAAGAAATGCAATCCAAATAAAAAAAATTTGGAAATCAAAAATCGAATCACGTTTTCAACATAGCAGCGCACTGATACGCCGGCTTTTAAAAGGAGACCAGTTTACTCCGCTTACAATTTCGATTTTAAAAGACGGAGTTTGATGAACTGGATGAGCCTGCCTGACTGTAAGTGGATGGCAAACGAAAACATCCCCTCACCTCAAAACTCTGTGTACTATAAGAAAAAGAAAACACACTGTACAGTCGGAGGTGTAGCATGCATTCTTAACGTTTGTTTGCACAGCTACGCTACTTTGAGTGAGTCCGATTTACTATACATTAAACGGCAACTGTGTTTCACGAAAGACAGAGATAAGACGTCTTTCTTTTATCCCACGTGGATGCTATGAGGATAAACAAGAGACCAAGACCTTGAGTATGGTGAGAATGAATGAATGACAGCTTCTAAAATTGTCTGAGAGGCATCCCCTTTTGCCCAGTAGGCCTACCTTGTGTTTTATTTGCTAATTTAAGCTATTTTTAAAAGATTAATATAATGTATAAAACTATACATAATATTTATTACTTCATATTACCTATACGTCTGATAAGCTTTTTATATTAATGGACAATGCACAGATATTGATGTTTCACAATGTTTTTACACTACATTATTTTAATCTACCAAGCTCAGCTTACAATGTTTACAATGTTCTACTTGCATTAAATCTAAATCCCAAATATCAGAAATGACAACAGATTGTTGAGATTTAATTAATGTCAGTTATAATGTTAAAGATTAATGCACTTACTTGACAGATTTCATTCCTTTATTTTTCTTCTGCTTTTTCCCCGGTTTATCAAGCTGCCACTTACTTGACAGATTTAGATATTTTTAATTTTAGGTGTTTTATGTTTGGTAAAATCATTTCTAATTGAATCGTTAGTTAATTTTAACTAATTACACTCTTGTCTCAAGAGGTGGATTTAGAGGTTTACAATATTGTAAAAATAAATTAATAACAACAACAACAATAATGAATACATTATCGACACCCTACAAAAAAATGTATATGTATTTGATAATATTATTAAATATTATTAATACTAATATTATTACGCCTTCCACTGCCCCTCTTCCAAACGGTTGGTCATGTTTTTACTGTTTTAAATAATGACTGTTAAAGTCCTTAAAAAAAAATGACAGTTTAAAATACTAGCTTACACACACAGCATTGCTGGTTTACAAAAAAAATCAAGCAAGCATCCTGTTGCATTACTACAACACTTGATTTTGGTTTTATTGCAAAAAAAACAGGGAAACATGTTAATGAGAATATTTTATCTTAATATTAAAATATTCTAATTAAATTGGTCTTACAGTTCATATTTTCAGATTTTTCATAGTAACTGAATTATCAACCATTTGGTAGAGGCTGATATTTCAGAAATTATGAGATGTGTTGAAAAATGCATTGAGTGTTTTAACTTTAAGAGACATTAGCCCCTTTCACACATATAGACCTTTCCGGAAAATTACCGGCAATTTTCCGGAAAGGTTGTATGTGTGAACAGGTCCTTTTTGAAAATACCGGTAAATTCGTTCTGGCTATTTTCCGGAAAGAGAAGTTGTAACATTACCGGCAATTTGCCGGAATGCTGCGCTGTGTGAATGCAGAAGGAAGATAGCCGGAAAGAGCGCGTCCACGTCTAGAACGTGCTGACGTGAGACACCTGCTTTAGCCAATCAGAACAGGCAGACGCATTCACGTGCGCCCGGTTTATGAGAATAAAAGCCTTTGAATATTTTTCCAGACACATTTAGCTGCTAGATGTTAGTCAGATAACGTTTCTATGTTCCTTCTTAATGCTAACTGTGTAAATAATTATCGATAAAATGTTTATCATAATCCGTTGTTTGTTTACCTTCAAGCTTTGCGTGTGCTTGTGAGCGCCCATAGCGCCAGCACACACACATATCATGAACATCTCGACATTCAAAAGTATTTCTCTATGTTTTCATTGGAGTTGTACTCAATACTGATCCATCTGAAGAGTTTGTAATGTAGTCAAATGTTTACAAACACAAGCGCAGCAGTTTAGAGGTCATTTCTGGTTAATGATGTCAGAATTTAACGGCATTTTGCGATAGATGTGTGAATGCTCTTTTCCGTAACGTCCTCGCCTGTGTGAACAGCGCTTTTTTGAATTTACCGGTAAAGTCGTTCCGGAAATTTTCCGGATATTTACCGGTATCACTGTGTGAAAGGGGCTATTAAGAGATAAGAAATGCAATCCATACATTTTTTTTCTTGGTGGGGTAGTTAAAGTGATAAAACATTAAATAATAATAATAATAATAATCTTTAGTTAATTTTAACTCATTACACTGTCTTGTCTCAATAGGTGAATTTAGAGGTTTTTGCAAAAAAAGCACAAGTGGATTTAGCTGGTCGACGCAAAAGAAAATTTACCAAAGAAAACCAAAGAATTGTCTAAAGTAACACTTATATATATATATATACACACACTAGCTAATAACCGTATCATTACATATAAAATGAAACTTCTGAACATAATCAGAGGAGCCTGATAGAAAATGCTCATTTACAAGAAAAGAGGTCTGATGAATTTGGAGGGTTTTGCATATGAACTCTTCAAATATTCCCTTCTTTTCAGAAATAATGAGCCAAAAATGAAGTGAGTTTCTTCTGCTTTTATTATTATAATTTCTTATAATTTATTTGTTTTCTATTCTCTTGTTCTTTTTGCAAAAGTATAAAAGAAAATATGGAAACTCTTATGCTAGTTCAAGCATGTTTGTACTGTACTCCACTAAATAAAATTTAAGTGAGTTTTTCCTTAAAGCAAGATAAACCATCCGACAAAATAATCTTGTTTTCACTTTAAAATTGAAAAACTTTAAAAACTTTTGATCTTACCTCATTGGCAGATTATTTAGCTTGTTTTAAGGAAAAAAATCCCTTAATTTTGACTTATTATTTATGGAAAACAAAACTAAATGTTCTGCTTGTCTAGTAAATGTTAGTTGATATAATAATGTCTAAACTGTTTAGACTAGAAACAAGACAAAATCTTTAACAAAGAAAAGCATCTTGTGCGTCTAGTATTGCTAAATACTATTATTAATTATTCATATTGTGAACCAACTTTTATTGTTGTTTTCATTATCAACAATATATAAATGATTAGCTCTCCTGTGAAATTTGACATCTGCTGTTTAACGAAAATATGTTTTTTTTAAAAACCATAATAGTTTTAATAACCCATTTCTAATAACTAATTTAGTTTGATCTTGCCATGATTTCAGTACATAATATTTTACAAGGTACTAGTATTCAGCTTAAAGAGACATTTAACGGATATTTAGGATAACAAGGCAAGTTGTTGAGCAACAGTGATTTGATTTTACTTTTTTTTTTTTTACATATTTATTAATATATAATTTATTCCAGTCAAACTAAAAGAAATAAGACCTTCAGGAGAAGACAAATATAATAGGACAAACTGTAAATAAATGCCCTTGCTCTGTAAGGCCGTACTCACAGTAGGTACAGTTGCCTCGAACCAGGCCAAAGCACGCTTGTCCCCCCTCCCGTCTCCCCCGACGGCCCGCACTCACAACATAAACGGGCCTCGGCACGCTTACGTCATCGCTGCTGCTCTGTTCAGTGAGAAGCGCTTTCTCACTCAGCAGCACAGTGGAGATTTCTCTAGCTATATCGTGTCAGTCGTTTGTTATGCAGTGACATGCAGTCAAATATTTCACCAAACAGTCCTTAGGGATGCAGCGACACGCAGTCAGATATTTCGCCGAACAGATCCGCCCCTTTTGGCGCTCATAAACAATCATAAAGCCCTCGTGCTGCAGGAATGAGGAGGTCTGCTGAAGGTGCAGCTGTCGTGCAGTGAGGAGTTCTCGTCTTTAATAAACTAGGGCAGTTTGCGTTCACTGAACAGTAAGAATGATTAATAAATCCATATGTAACAGTCCCTTAAAAGTCACGTCTCGCTTTCAGTTTCGGGTTTTGGCGCGTTTTGCACTCACACTACAAACGTACTGCGCCAAAGCCCAAGTAAACTGTGTTTGAGCCCGATTCAGCGCACGCACACTTCTCAAACGATCCAGGAAACGGGCCTGGGCACTGTACGAATGGCATAGTGCGAGTAGGCCCTAAAACAACACTTGAGAAATTTTTGAAAAACGTCAGTATTTTCATCAAATGATCATTGATATAAAGATCATTGGCATCATTAGCAAACATCAGGATCATTTGAGAAAGCACTTGAGAAAGACACTGACCCCGAGGCAGACCATGCCGAGTGCCAGTCCTGCAGCTAGAGAATATGACTCTCTGTCCGTGCAGTATTCCATCTCTGGACCCGGCGGACGACCTGGGGAAACACACAACTGTTACAGAAACACAAAGATGACAGAAAAGCTTATTTGCTCCAACATTATGTTAAAGGTTCAGTTCACCTAAATTAAAGATTCTGTCATTTACTCTTTTATGTCTGCATTGACATTGGTAGCAATTGACTTCCACACTATATCCTACTATGGATCTCAATAGAAAATGATTCCTAAATTCTTCAAAATATTTTATTTTGTGTTTATTAGAAAAAAGAAGAATCTCATGAAGGTTGGAAACCACAGTTTTTTTTTTTGAGTGAACTAGCTATTCAAACCACCAATAAACCTACCCATATCAACAAATCAACCAATAACCTTAACCCTATCCCACCTCAAAAGAACTGTGTTATTGCAATACAAAATTAACAAATGACAAAAATTTTATTCTATGCATTCACATCGCCGCTGGCAAGAGTCTCAAAATTTGGTCTTGCCTCCCTGCTGACAACACTGTCAATCGTCACAGCTCCACTGTTGACAGCATCAAGATTCACTACCTTAATCTCTTATTTGAAGGGTTGCAGCATATCAGCAAATCAGTTATTGTATATTTATGCATAAAAACATGTTTCTAGAGGGAAAATGTTGCGGACCTTTAATCAAACTCATTTAACTTTTGAAGATCAAGTTGTTGCGTGTGGTGTGGCTTTGCTCCACTTATTCAATATCTGCCCATATGTCTCAAATATTCTGAAGCAGCAATACTGTTTTGTACTGTCGTTATAGTTAGCATAAGCATGGTTTCCGCTACATGCATTCGTCCGTGATGGGGCGCCACACCAAAATTCATCCCGCCACGGCTGCATTACAGCTTCTCATTCAAAACATTCAGTCGTTTTTTGTTTGTTTTTTAAAGGCGGTTTATAATCTCAACTAAACGTATTAAAAGGTAAGTGAATTCTAACAGCGCAAACTTTTCTGTAACCGTAGTAGTGCTGTGCGTTTTTTTGTTTAACCCTTTAGGTGACTAACTGACTGACGCCACAGCTGAAAAAAAAAAATCCTAGAGTAAACACTGATGAGATTCCCGCTTTTTTTTTCAATATTTAACATTAATGCAAATAACAAACAGGGACACATAAATAATTGGAAATCCGACGACTGCAATAATCAAACCCTTGGGAACAACTGTGGTCAGAAAAAAGATCATAGGACTGTGTTCTCTGGAAGCATCTCAATTGGTGAACTTCTACATTTCGATTGGCTGACTGTGAACCGCATCACAGCTCATTACCATAGAGCTAACTCGAGTTAAACTCTCGACGCCAACATGCTGGTAATGACTTCCGGCTACTTTGATGCTCTCGTTGGCGGGGGTGTGAATGCACAGTTGGCGTTAGAGTAGGTGGCCAGTCTTCATTGATTGCACATTCCAGCAGTAAGAGCGGAGTGTGAAGATTTAAATAGGAGAGTAATAACACAGTTTTGCTTAATATATTGCAATGCACACAACAATATGGGTGACATATCAGAGTTTAAAAGAGGACAATTGGTTGGTGCACATCTCGCTTGCTCATCTGTGGCCAAGACAGCATGTCTTTGTGATGCATCAAGAGCTGCAGTATCCAGAGAAATATCAGCAAACCACCAAGAAGAACCACCACATTAAACAGGAGTAATTGTGGACTGTGCATAAAGACACACACACACACACACACACACACACACACACACAAACACACACACACACACAAACAAACACAAACACAAGCACACAAACACAAACACAAACACACTGACCGATCTCTGCCAGCAGCACCTCTGCGTTGTGCCGGTGTCCGGTGCCCTGATAGACCAGGCCGATGCCGACCACAGCAGCCACCTGCACACTGTGTGGGACGTCCAGCTCGGTGGAGGTCGGCGGCAGCAATGCAGGGATGTGGATGCTCAGCAGACGAGTGATGGACATGTCCATGGTGCCCAGTTTAGCAGCAGAAACACCCAAAAGCAGCCCGATACTCGTCATTTCATGACCCTTAGAAAGAGGAGAAGATATATGTATTAGAGATGCACGGTATGAAAATTTATTTCAGATAAATGATAATTAAGTTCTTCTCATGCCCGATACTGATAACTGATGCTAATATTTAGATCAACTTTATATTATAATCTGAATCTAATCTGCAGTTATTTTTGGACACAAAAATCTCAAATCCTCATATCCTCAATCCTCAACGCAAACATCAGCGGTCCGTTCTTCGTACCTCACTTAAATAATCTAAGATGATTTGGCAGTTCCTGGATCTGTTAATCTTGATAACTGATCTCATGCTAATTTGGTTCTTCAAACAAGTTCGCGAATCAGATTAAAATGTCTGGATAAACTGATCTGAGATCGCTGCGTGTGTTGTGAAGGACTGATCTATCGATCCATGAAATCATGATCAGCAATGCGATGATTGGCTGACGGCACAGCAGCATAGTGGCATCATCTGATTAATATTAAATCATCCATGTGAGCATAATTTCATCAAATTAGCAGTAAACGGTTTATTAAATATGACACGCAATAACTTTCTACGTTTGTTGTGAGCTGCAAGCTTTCCACTTTCATGTGTCGAGAGTATTCATCATGTATTTTAATGCATATCAGTGTATTTAGTTCTACATTTAGAGAAGATTTTCTTTATTATAGTAGCCCAGGCCTACTCAAGTTTTTTTAATCGGCGTAAGGAATAACTGTATAAATCAATTTTGCATCATAAAAGCATTTTGATATCGGTGAAGGTGTCAATCACTGGCATATTAGTGATCAAAACACGTGCTTGACTGCATAAATTATTACCTTTTTTTTTTTTTTTTACTTGAATAATGTGCATGTACGCGTTTAAAAAGTTCATATCAATAAATTCTCTCTTTGAACCACCAGGTGGCATTCGTTTACTTTTATTTCGGAGAGCAGATTCGTAAGTTTTATTAATATTTATTTTTAACATACACACTGTAATAGATGTGCCAGGCATGAAAGCTTGACAGGTGTAGCAACAGTAACTAAGAAGGGCGGGGATTAACGAAGAGTCAATTGTTTTGCATTTTATTATTTTTTTTATTAATTTATTCACTTTTTTTCCCAGTTAAAAATCTATTTTCCAATAATATTTAAAAATATATATAAACATTATTTTCCATTCATTCATTCATTCATTTTCTTGTCGCGTAGTCCCTTTATTATTCCGGGGTCGCCACAGCGGAATGAACCGCCAACTTATCAAGCAAGTTTTTACGCAGCAGATGCCCTTCCAGCTGCAACCCATCTCTAGGAAACATCCACACACACATTCACACACACACTCATACACTATGGACAATTTAGCCTACCCAATTCACCTGTACCGCATGTTTTTGGACTGTAGGGGAAACCGGAGCACCCGGAGGAAACCCACGCAAACGCAGGGAGAACATGCAAACTCCACACAGAAACACCAACTGAGCCGGGGCTTGACCCAGCGACCTTCTTGCTGTGAGGCGACAGCACTACCTACTGCGCCACTGCTTCACCCTATTTTCCATTCATAAATAAGCAAAATATTTAGCAGGATTTGCATGCCCTTTGCTGCATAGAATTCATTAAAATAGAAGTAAAATAACATTTTAACATAAGTTATTTTTAAAAAAAAAAAGCTCCTAAATGGTTTTGCATTTTGTGATTTTTTAATTTTTTCAGTTGAATAAAAGATTATTTTCCATTCATCATTGAAGATTTCCTAAAAAATAGGGTAAAAATCTCATCTCGTGAACCCAATCTCATGTCTTGTCTCGTGGAGCAAGCGTCTCATCACACCCCTACTGAATAAGATCAAATAAAAAGTACAAACAGGGTCTGGTTTCCACAGTATTGATGCTAGGGGGTTCTGATTGGTTTCTATGTAAAAAAAAAAAAAAAAAACGACTGAAATTATACATCATGCAGGCCTACAGTGAGCACACACACACACTTGATTGATTCATTCATTAAACTCCCTCATTCATTTATTTTTTTTCGACATGTGCATGAAACAGGATGTTTTTGGAGCCGATTCTTGTAAAACGGGCAGGAGTACTACGAGACAGCCGCTATGAGAGCGGCCAGTGTAAACACCAAGACTAGCTGAACGTAGCTCGATATAGCTTATAGATTACAGATACGCTCGGCGACCACAGAAACTATCAACAAAGCCTGGCCTGACTGGAAATGAGAGATCAGCACACGTTACTGGCCCTGTGAACTGTCAGAATGAAACTCAGCTCTACGTTTGCCTTTCATGTGAGAAAAACAACAGGATGAGAGCAAAAACCCCAGAAAACATGCAAACCCGAATGCTCCAATGCTAAAAATGCCGAGATAAGAGATTGGGGAAGAGGTCTTTGGTATTTAGGATGTCCTCAAAGAACATTTCAGGGGAATTAATTAAAAATAAAGAAAGAAATACTGACTAATTGGAGTCTACACTCAAGACTATTTCATCATGGGGTGTCTGATTTTAATTAACGCAACAATTTGTAATATTGTGTTGGATTGCATTGGAAGCCATTATGATAAATTGGTCTCGTTTTGTTCCTCTGTAATTAAAGTCTGCCTACATCCTCCTGATTTCCTTCTAGATGTCTATTATAGATAAGCTGGTAGTCTCGGATGATTCGTTCTGTTCGCTACACGTGAATGTGTGGATTCGTCATGTGTTGTATGGCGTTTGATATCAAAGCCATCTTTGGTGAACATCTGCTGATGAGATTTTTGTGTTTTGCATGAATTAATATGCTTAAATATATAAATATAAATATATAAATATAAATATATAATTTTTTATTGCTATAATAAGGCACAAATGTAGAAACTAATCTGAAAAGTTTAATCAGTATGCAAATTATTTATGGTACAAATTCATTTAAGGTGCCCTGTAATAAGAAATCTGGGTATACTAAGGCATAGTAGAATAATAACAGATCGGTATATGGAAATGGGCATACTGTGAGCCTCAGACACCACTGTTTCCTTTTTCTCATGTAAATTACACAAGTGGAAAACCACGGTGGATAACAGGCCAATCAGAAGACAAAACAAATTGTAATGAGACTCATGGGCCATTCCCTCTGCATTTGCATGTATGCCCACTTTAGGTCATTAATCCGGACCTGTTGAGCACCCACCATCAAGAGAAGAGGACTCATATCTAGCTCTGATCAGAAAAAATCTCTAAGGTCATTAATATGTACGCCTGAGGCTGCGTTTGAGAAGACAGATGTTTTTTTAGTGGGACAACAGTGTTAGTTATCCTCCCTTAGTTATTTTACTCGTGCATTTCACGTACTATGCATGTACGTGAATTGAACTACCCTGATCCAGTTACTATGACCATTTATGTGAAGCTGCTTTGACACAGTGGAAAGCGCTACACAAATAAAGCTGAATTAAATTGAATGCATGTGGGACTTTTATTTTGAAAATGCGAGCCCCAAATTGTTTAATGTGCAACGATAGCACAAGGCATGTTTCAAACTCACCTCGGGATGCAAAATGCAAGATTCCACATTTCTTAATCTCCACTCTGAAGAGGCATAAGGGATGTTTAGTTAACATCTGTTGGTCATTTATAATGTTTACACATGTGGACTGCTGAATCGTATCAAACCACTCAGCTCAACTGTCATCTGTTCATGCAGAGGTTGATTTTAATTCCTGGCGGTGTTTTCATTGACTAGCTATTAAATACAACCAGATACATCTCTATCACTCTCTTTAGTCACATTTAATTATAATGTAGCATTTATTCACAAAAGATATGGTGAGCAAAATAGGCTGAAGTTACTCAGATTGGGTTTATATTGGTCTGGGTTCAGCGTACATCAGGCTTTAAATATGGTCAATTGTGGACCTTCTGTTAGCACCAATAGCCTAGTGGTACTGTGCACTGTGATATATATAGCACCGGGTAGCTCACGGCGACCCGAGTTCGATTCCCAACTCGAGGTCCTTTGCCGATCTCTCCCATCCCAATGCTTTCCTGTCTGATATCTCTACTGTCCTGTCATTATAAAGTAGAAATAATAATAATAATTCTGATTCTATGGGTATTTTATGGAGTAAAAAAAAAACTTATAAACCCATTTATGAAGATTTTTCTTTTACTTGCCAAAGCCATAAACCTACTATGTTTTCAGAGAACAATTTAACTTATTAAACCAATGCGGCATATGTCGCCTTTAAGAACTGTTCACCTAGTGTTTGCTAATGCCTAGTTCACACTAAAGGATTTTAAGCCTGATTTGAGCCCGATTTGGAAGTTAACGAGCTCGCCGACAGATCGGGCTGTGATCGGGAAGAAATCTGCGGGTGCACGGCGCTCGCCGCTCTTTATGTGTGAACTACTGAACAACGCATCCACGAGGCTCGCTGATGCGTCGCTGACACCTCGCAGACGGAAATCCAACATTCAGCATGCTAAATATTCCAGAGCAGTCGGCCGACTCAACCCCACGTGTGGTCAGATGTAGTGACGAGCTGCAGCCAATGAGAGAGCATATCAGCATGAGCCGCGTGCCTGTGTGTTCAGGAGCTCAGCAGAAACATCTGTGATTGGTCAGAATGGGCATCGGTGCACTCGCTTCATTCTGCGTTAGCACAGACATGAGAGTAGGCTATATTAACAGTGGAACTAGAATTCTGTAACTATTAGAATTACCATACTGCTTATTCTGACGGTTCTTATATAAAACGCCATATTGTCACAACATATTTACATTCAAAGCTATTATTGAGATATTAAAATTAAGCTTTGAATGTCTAGCATCATATTTAATGACACCATTACCCTAAAAATATCATCTTTTTTTGTAATACAGCCTATAAATATGTAGTTAAGATACTAAAACACTTAAAGATCTTGGCTTTCATTTTCACTTTCAAACAGGAGCTATTTCACAGCACAGAATATGCTGTTTTGAAAGATATCTGAAGTAAATTGATGTTTTTGCCATCAGAAGGTTTTGTTTATGTTAGCAGGAAGTTGCCAGGCAAGAAAATGCACACATAAAGTCACAGTGAAAAGTATCAGACATGCATGCAGTCATTTTGACCAATATGGTAATTTAAGGCAGAAATGCTCAGTTCTTTACTGTTTTGTAATAAAAAAAATAACAATGTCAGCAAGAAATACACTGATAGTTAGAAAATGGCAGGGTTTTATAAATATGTTAGTTTTATTTCAAAGAGTTATAAAATTACAAAAATTAAAAACTCTCTGTGTATCTATCCACTGGAACCTGCAGATGAGTGATTAATCCGCTGATAAATCAGCTGATTTGACGATGTTTTTAAATGCTTTCTCCAAAGCTTGAAACGCTGTCAGTGATGTCATCAGCACACAAGCAGCCAATAGTGTTCAGCTTTTTCTGACAACTCCTCCCTCAAAATTTCATTGGCTGTGGTTTGGTAGCTTGAATGAGCTGATGGGGAATGAGTTGTTGTCAGATCATGTAGTGTGTGACCCCCCTCTTGTGGATCGTTCACGGAGTGTTGCGTAGTGTGAACACCACAGGGATTAAAAGACACAAAGTCAAGTCATGTAGTGTGAACGGCACAGCGATCTGCTGATGTTTAAAATCCTGTAGTGTGAACTAGGCTTAACAAACAGCAGATAAAGTAGAACAGTTTTACATGTTAAAATGACCATTTCAATGGGTCAACTAGGGTTTTTTGTTTATATTTGCACTGTGGCCAAACTTGCTTTATTAATTAAAATAACATTGAAATAAACAGGGATATTAAAGTAAGTAAAAATGAACATTGGAGGTCGAACTAAATTAAAACAGCTAAATTTTGCCTTGGCAAAATTAAAACAAAATGAATGAAAGAATGAATGAATGAATGAATGAATGAATGAATGAACGAGCGAGCGAACAACAATGTAAGCTTTCCTCGTTCACTTGATGAAGTGGTATGCACTTTAACCCTTGTGTGCTGTTGGGAATGTTTTCATCCACTCTGAGCTGATTCTGAGTCTTAATTTGGCCACAACATTCTCTGTGTTTCAGCAAATGGAATGAGTTTTGGTGACTAATCTTATTTTAATACATATTTTAGGAAAGCCTCTCAAATAATAACAAAAAAAACACTCAATACACTCTGGGCAAATGGACTACCCTTATGTTATGTTTGGGTCTGTTTTTGCCCCATTGACCTCCATTATAATCACATTTGTTGATGGCAAATTCATGACAGCATATAACCATGCTTTCTTGATTGTTGCTGGTTTTCCTTTTGGGGAAGAGGTACAATTTGTGATTTTTACTGTTGCTCATCAGTTACAATGCAAAAAAGCTTAGATTCTGCCAACTATATGGAAAACTGTGTTTTTGTGTATGTGTGTTTGTGTGTGTGTGTGTGTGTGTGTGTGTGTGTGTGTGTGTGTGTGTGTGCGTGTGTGTGTGTGAGAGAGTGTAAAAGAGACTTTTACACACTTGATTTGTCTGAGAAAATCAAAATAATCAGCTCTGCTCTCATACTGTAGTAGGCATAGTAGGTGTATTATTGCACAAAGACTATAATCTGCTGTTTTACACCATATGAAAGCCAGTACATTTTTTGCACAGGCCTATCTAAAAGGTTAATGATGCCAACTGATGATCAACAGTGAAAATTACACATTTTAGCTCTTTCCAACAGGACAAACCACCAACAATTGAGAATTCGTGATTATTTAATATTCAAAAATGTCATTACAATGTTAAACAATGTGGAAAAAACAGACCCAAACATAATAAAAAGGGAGTCAATTTGAACAATACACAAGTTAAACTGGCATCAGAGATTTTCTTGAGGGGACATGAGTGCGTTTCTAAAAGTGTGGAACAGAGCCATGGTCTGCAGGTGAACCTTAAACTAACCTTGGTGAGGTAGTCATGGATGTTGAGAGTGGCTAGTTTGGTGAGGTGACCATTGAGGCCCAGTGCCATCAGGAAACCAGCATACTCATTGGCCAGTTCGGCACTTTTGGGTTTGTTGTAGGCGATCCAAGCGGACTCAACTTGAGAAGCAGGAGCGATTTTCAGGCCTGCCGCCACGCCGTTGTGAAAGCTGGGCCAGCTGGTCATGTTGGGTGGTACGTCGATGTTTCCACTGTTCAGGTCCACCATGGTGTTCCTGGGAGGAGCACGGCCTGGTGGGAAAAACACAACGGCAATCTCAATCGCTAGGTTCAACAGAAAATAATGTGTCTAATGTATCTAAATGTACGATTTGTGCATTTGAGTTGCATAGGAAACACTATATGAATTACACACTTTTTGACATAAACTAAAGGATTTATTCATGAAAACATTTAGAAACAAAACTAAATGTTAAAATAAATAAAATTCAATTAATACAATTAAAATAGTTTTAATAAAATAAATGTAAAAAAATATGTATCAAATTGTAATAATATATATATGATAAAATATATTAATAAAATAAATATATAAAAAAATACAACAAGAAAAGAAAAAACAATTTTCATTAGTTTTGATTGAAAATTAGGGTTACTTTGCCAAATACTGACTTCTGAACTATGTCAGAAACCTTTCCTTTTTTATGCCGATTGTGGGCAATTAACAAAATGAAAAAATATACAATAATAAAACAAAACATTAAACTAAATAAAAACTTAAAAACTTAATACATTTAATTAAAAAAATAAATTAATTTACAAAATGAGAAATTTGTATTGTAATAAATAAAAAATATACAATTGTATTAAAAGTAATGCAAAAGATTTTTTTTTTTACATATTTAACATAAATAAAACAATAATAAAAATGCAGTTAAATAAGAAAGTGGTGCATTTTACAGTGGGAAAATGAAACAAATGGAGGTGTTTTAGTGCCCTTTAGTTACTAAATTACAGAGATAAACTAATAAACTTAATACAATTAATTAATAAAAAAAAATTAAATAATGAAAATAATTGTATTAAAATAACAAAATATTAAAGGTAACGCAAAGCAAAGAAAAAAATAATATTAATAAAACATTAATAAAAATGCAGTTAAATAAGAATGGTGCATTTTACATTGGGAAAGTGAAACAAATGGTGTTTTAGTGCCGTTTAGTTAATTAACTACAGAGAAAAATAATAAACTTACAAGTAATGAATAAAATACATTTAAATAATAAAATAATTATATAAAAAAATATTAAAAGCAATGCAAAAAAAAAATATATATATATATATATATATATATATATATATATATATATATATATATATATATATATATACAATATTAGTAAAACAATATTATCAATTATATTATATTAAAAATTAAACTATATTAAATTATTAATATACAATATTATTAAAACATTAATAATGCAGTTAAATAAGAATGGTGCATTTTACGTTGGGAAAGTGAGACAAATGAGAGTAATTTAATACCAGAGATACAGTATACAGAGATAAATCATAAAGCATCTAAAAAGCACTGCTCAGCTCCATCATGGTGTTTTTACGAGTTGAATGGTCTGGTGGAAAAACCAAATGACAAACCCAACAAAAATAATGCATCTAAAATAAGAAAAAAGAAGATTTTACAGTGGGAAAGTGAAACATAAGGCATTTTTTAGTGCCCTTTAGTTAGTAAATTACAGAGGAAGAGGGTTACTATAAAATTACACTGTGAACCATCTAGTAAAAAGAGCTGTTCTGTGCAGAGCCTTAATGTAGGATTTATGCATTTGAGTTGCATTGAAAATAAAAGAACCCACACATTTTGACAAAAGCTAAATGATTGTTTTCATTCTTTCATTGAAAATTAGGGTTACTGCACCAAATATTGACTTCTTAACTGTCAGAAACCTTTGCTTAATAAGGCTGTTTTTGAGCAATTTGAAAATCTTTATAAACAAAACATAGACCAGACAAAATATTAAAATAAAACATTAAAATAAAATAGAGTTAACTAATTAATCAAATAAAATGTATTAATTAAATAAAATAATCTTATCAAAAGTAACACGTACACTTTTAATAAAATTAATTATTTAAAAAATTTGATTTATTAATAAAATCAAAGCAAAGAAAATAAAAAATGAATTCTTGTGTCATTAATTTACTTTTATATGCTGATTTGAAAACAGAACATTTATAAATACAACAAAAATTTAAAATAAAATACAATTAATAAAATAATCAATAAGTTAAAATAAAATTTATTTAAAAATTTAAATAAATACAATTTTATAAACTTTAATAAAATTAATTCAACCAATTAATCAAAATGAAGTGAGTTTTTCATTAAAACAAGCAAAATAATCATATTTCAATTAAAAAAAACAAGATTATTTTTCTGAAGTGAAATTACTTATTATCTTAGACTTATTTCTGAAAACAAAGCAATATTTTTTCTAGTTTTTTTTTTTACTTTACACTATTTTTAATTATAGTTTTACTAGAAAATGTTTCTTGATTTAAGAAGTTTAAGATATTTGCCAAGAAACAAGACAAAAACTCTCAGAAAGAAAAACACTTTCAGCAGAGCATGAGGGCTCTTAAACTTGTAGTTTTTATTCTGGCACTGTAAAACTGTTCATTAAAGGAGCTTAAAGCATGGGTGTGCGTTTCTGAGAGTACCAGTCAGGTTGAGTTTGGGCACAGGCAGTGGTTCGGTTGGCACAGGGTGGTATGAGAAGAGAGTAAAAAGCCCTCGTCCCACTGGGAGAGACATGGTGCGCTGGCACAGCTGGAGGAGCCTGCAATAAAAAACAACAGCGGCATTCATGAACAGAAATGCACATCACTGTTTCCATACACATGTCCAATGTTTCAGTGTTGTCTGTCTTTACACACTTACGTAAAGGTTTGTTCAAAAGCACACACTCTTAAAACTAAAAAAGTTTCACAAGGGAGTTTTCACTGTGACGTCACAAGAAAAACGAGCACTTTAAAGTCAGGCTCCCATACATCTTACATTGATGTCCTTCAAGGGAATCAAGCATTAATTAAGGGGATCAAACCCCCTTTTAAATAACACCCTGGGTATGACATCACTTGAAATCTATCAATAGGAGTACTTCAGAGCTCACTTGTTCTCCTTCTCCTCAATGTACTCGTGGTCACTGATCTCCGGCAGATGTGGCACATTAACACGGACGGGTCTGGAGCTCTGGAGCAGCCGCCGCACCTCCTGCACCCTGAGATCTTGACTCCAGATGAGCGCGGTCACCTCGGGGTGAAGATCCGTCATGCCGTCCTCTTCCTCATCGGCTTCGCTGCTCACCGGCGGCTCCAGCATCACGTTAAGACCCACCGTCTGCAGGAAACACAAACAAACACAGCATTGTTCTCATCCGCAGACTATCCTGCATAATTCATATAATGGAGGGGTCACTACACATCAGAATAACTGTAATTACATGCTCCAAAACCAGATAATGCCATCTTAAATGCTGTATTCAAGTCTTCAGATAGAAGCCGTTTTAACCATGAAAAACACAATAATTTAGACTAAAAATAGGATTAAAATCTGCCCTAAGGTTTCTGTTTGAAATCTTGAATGATAATGAATATGTAAGTACAAACGTGCGCATTATAAAAGTCAAACTGTTCATTAGAAGCACAAACAAAATGAAAAATACTTTAAAAATTATATATTAAAAGGACCTGGGATTAGAGATCTCAGAAGATAACTGGACTAATGCTCGTCAAGTTATCAGGTCCTGTTCTATTAACTCTAACCTCCAGCTGATGCAATATAGACTACACTATTCTCGCACTAATTTGCACTCTATATACCCCTCTGTATCGTCTCTATGTATTAAATGCAAGTCCATTGAAGGTACACAGGCTCACATATTTTGGTTCTGCCCAAATATATCAAAATCTTGGACGGAGATGTTCTCTTTTTACACTGAAGTACTAAGGATTGATTTTCCTCCTTGCAATATTAGGCTGGGCTCCATCCTTTGAATTCCTTTCTTTGGACACAGAACAAAATGCACAGTAAAAAATAAATAAAATTAAATAAAAAAAATGAGCATGTCAAATTTCGCTAAAAATGCTTTTTAAAAATCAAAAACTGCAAGGCCATAAAGGTGAATCGCATTATAGCAAGGGAACACAGTATTGCTAAATTGTGAAACACAGCTGAAATACTAAATAAAATATAATTAAAGCTGCAAGCATTGATGAAAGGCTCACCGCCGCCCAGTGGACAATAATATTTCAGCTGATATATAAAAAAAAAACTAAAACTCCACGGTTTGACTGGGCTACTCTCAAAATTAGCCTTTTTACCTGAGTTCCTTGTAACATTGTTTGTTTGTTTTTTTATTTTATATATTTCCTGTCAGCTTAGTCAGGCCAAAATTCTGATGTTCACTGCCCAAACATCTGATATAAAAATATTAGAAGATTTTATTTCAAGTGATTCTTGGATTTTTCAGCAAACGGAACAAAGTGCTTACTTTTCTTCATTTTAACACTATGTATATGCATTAGCTGCTTATTTTAAAATTAAATGCTATGTTTTTATATTTAATGTGTAATGCTTTCATATAATTAGTAAAATTGTCTAACATTTATTTAAATATGTAAAGACTGCACCTCTGGGTCTTGGTCATAAAAAAAAAAATCACTAATTTTAATCACTGTTAGTTATTTTAAATGGTTTTTGCAGTGTGACAAATTAATCTTATAAGTACAAATAGACTATTCCATGTAGACTCTTAATTAATATTAGCTTATTAAAGCTCCATGAATAATAATTAAAAAAAATTAAAAAAATCACAGATTTAGGCCAAATTTCCTTCTGTTAGCAGGTGGCGCTATGACTGTGACTCAATGTTGGCAGGTAGATGTCTTCAGAGAGGAATCTCATCGAACGTGAATTTTAAGGCAGATCGAACATTGTTTGGCTGAGTTATAAGTACTTCCTTCTCCATGGCGAAACACTTGAAACTTTGTCCCGACCTTCGGCGAAAACTCTAGATCTTCACAATTTAACATGGCAAAGGCATTTGGACTAAGCTAACAGAAGATGGATTCGATGTGATAAAATTTGTAGGAGGAGTTTGTTACAATGTAAAACAGGTGATTTCCTGTTGCCAGCAGGTGGCGCTATAACTGTAACTGGATATTGGCATGTAAACGTGTTCAGGTTAAGCCTTTAAATGTCACTTTAAGCTGAATACAAGTGTCATAAAAAATATCTAGTCAAATATTATTTACGGTCATCATGGCAAAGATAAAACATGATAAAATCTATAATATTATATATTACATAATATTCAATTAAACCAAAAAAGTTATGAATAGAATTTTGTATAATATACTTATGGAGTGAATGTGTAGCAATAGAATTGCAGCTCTGACCAAACTTACTATCCTGCAAAGCTGACAAACATACTAATAAAATAAGCCCTCGTTTACATTAATTAACATTCTTACCGATTTACGATTGGCTAGAGTGACTTTGTGAGCTTGTCTGGTCAGGTCCTGTCGGCCAATCAGAGCGCAGACCTCTTCGGACCAATCAGAGCAGGGGTGTTCTCTGCACTGATAGATGGCGTCTCTAATTGGCAGAGCCACACCGAACGGCACCGTCTCGAGATCCTTCAGTGTAAATCCTGAGGGAAAAACAAACAAGCATGTAAAACAGAATGCAGTCACGCGCTTTACATGACAGGATCCTGCAAGTGCAAACTAAGATCAGTCAACAAAAGCTGATCATATGAGCGGCAAAAAAACCTGCATTCAGGGCTAATATCAACAGAAATTAAGGATATGATACGGCTTTCATGTGTACACAACTCAATGCATTTAAGCATGTAGACATGGTCAAGACGATCTGCTGCAGGTGATTTAAGTGACTTTGAATGTGGCATGGTTGATGGTGCCAGATGTGCTGGTCTGAGTATTTCAGAAACTGCTGATCTACAGGGATTTCACACACCATCTTAAGGGTTTACAAAGAATGGTGCGAATAAGAAATATCCAATAATCACTTTTATAATAATAAAATATCCAGTGAGTTGCAGTTCTGTGGGTGCAAATGCTGATGCCAGAGGTCTGAGGAGAATGGCCAGACTGGTTTCAGCTGATAGAAAGGCAACAGTAACTCAAATAAGCACTCGTTACAACCGAGGTCTGCAGAAGAGCATCTCTGAACACACAACACGTCCAACCTTGAGGCGGATGGGCTACAGCAGCAGAAGACCACACCGGGTGCCACTCCTGTCAGCTAAGAAAAGGAAACTGAGGCTACAATCTACACAGGCTCACCAAAATGGGAAAATAGAAGATTGGAGAAACGTTGCTTGATCTGATGAGTCTCGATTTCTGCTGCGAAATTCGGATGGTAGGATCAGAGAATTTGGCATTAACAACATGAAAGCATGAATCCATCCTGTTTTGTATCAACAGTTCAGGCTGCTGCTGGTGGTGTAATGGTGTGGGGGATATTTTCTTGGCACACTTTGGACCCATTAGCACCAATTGGGCATCATGTCAACTCCACAGCCTACCTGAGTATTGTGGCTGACCATGTTCATCCCTTTATGACCACTCTGTACCCATCTTCTGATGCCTATGTCCGGCAGGATAATGCTTCATGTCATAAAGCATGAATCATCTCAAACTGGTGTCTTGAACATGGCAATGAGTTCACTGTTCTCGAATGGCCTCCACAGTCACTAGATCTCAATCCAATAGAGCACCTTTAGGATGTGGTGAAATGGGATATTTGTATCATGGATGTGCAGCCGACAAATCTGCAGCATCTGTGTGATGCTTTCATGTCAGCATGGACCAAAATCTCTGGGGAATAAATCCAGTATCTTGTTGAATCTATGCCATGAAGGATTAAGGCAGTTCCGAAGGCAAAAGTGTGTCCAACTCAGTAGTAGTAAGGTGTACCAAACAAAGCAGCCAGTGAATGTACAGTGAGAGACAAATACTGTCGCCAGACTTTTTTTAACCACCTACTGGTGGCTTTATTGTCATTTTTTATCCCGTTTAGTTTAATTACTGTTCTTAATAAAAAGGAAGGAAAATGACGATTTTGGAAAAAAAATCAAATTACGATGTGTTGACCAATAATAAATTTACCACGATTTAATATGCTGTTTCACCCAATTATATATGGGTCACACTACATTAAGGTTTCATTAGCTAATGTATATACTAAAATGAACTAAATTATGAACACTACCTGTACAGCATTAATCATAGTTCAACATTTAATAATGTATTATTAGCATCCAAATTCATGCTTGATAACAATAGCGAATGCACTGTAAGTTAACATGAACTAACAATGAATAAGAATTCAAGCGAATAATGCCATAAGTGTTGAGAAAAGCATTCGCAAATCAATCATTTTAACCAGTTAAACTCCACGGACCCGGTACTGGTCATCGACTTTTGCTTTAAGATTTAAGATTTAAGAAAGGCGAGCATTGCACCAGACCCTCGTAAGTGGTTTCGTTTGAAAGTGTAGAATCTATACTGTATGTACATATGCATCACTTTGGTTTTTATTCTACAGTACAAAAGTTATTTACACTTAAATAAACAGTATTTTGGATACCCAAGCTGGGTATTTTACATTGGTTCATTTTCATATGGTTCATATATGACACATGTGCAAGTTATAGCTCAAATGAAGCTCTTGCCGGTGCTCATACGGTTCTAGCATTCTTTTTACTGAATTATATTCACATGTCAAACAGTTGCCGAATGAATCGCCGTGTTTCCATGGCGCAGAAGTGAAAACAATACATTTATGATCAATAAGCAGCCCCAGATAGCAGACAGCTGTCATCTCTGACCTTATGCTGTGTGCTTCAGGGCCATTCTCCTCTGTTTTTGAGGTGATGTGCATAAGTAATCCTTTTATATGTCTGACGTGGTCCAAACACAGTGAATTATGTTTGATCAAACAAAAGAATAGTGAAATATGTAAACAATGAACGGTCCCTGTGGCTTGTATAGCAGCTCTCATCAGCTGGAATACAATAACTTTTGCATAGATTATGGTAGAGACATTTTTTTTTTCCCTATGATTACAGACATGTGCAGGAACCACTAAAATTAATTACAGCACCCTAAACCACACTGAACCTAAAAGGTACAGTTTATAAAAACAAAATACAAAAAGCGCCTCTTTTTTATGTGTTTATTATAACACAGACAACATATACATGTATTTTAAACACTTTTAATAGTGTTTTATGACAATTCAAAGGTTTTTCTTTAAAATGATGCCAATTTTTTTCATTTACACCTCTGCATGTGGATTTGGGAAGCTTTTAAATTTGGGTAGGCAAAATCCAAGCGGAAATCACAAAATAACTGCAGAGTTTAACTGGTTAAGCTGTAAATATAAACAAAAGTCCCTGCCAAATTCCGGATGGACTGATTAATAATCACCTTTTAAAAGAATAAGTTCACACCACAAAAGAAACACCGCAATTACTCAACAAATTTCAGTTTCATCATGACTGGGATGTGATTAAATGATGAGAGTAAAAAGTTGGGGGTGAACCATCCCTTTAAATGACCATGAATCAAAACGATTGTATTTTAATCCAAGGAATGAAATCACTAGGGGGAGTAAATTACTTTTTGACTGTATATGAGTGTAACACATCTTAATTTTTGGGTGAACAGTGCATTTAAGTATGCTTGTTTGTTGTCTAGTGTTTGAATCAACAGGCCAAAGAGTTTAGTTTCTGACCTGCGGAGGTTAACCACAGCACCAGCTTCTCAGCCAGGCATCCGGATGAAGATATGGGCTTCACACTGCTCTGCCTGAAAAACACACACACAAATTTAATCACACACACACAATCAACACTGGAGAAAACCAATCAGCTGACTAGAGTTTATGATCGCAGAGACAGTGACAAAAACAAACACAAGGCACATGACAATATTCAAACACGCACACCTTCTCAGAAATGGATCACTTGCATTCTTCTTTTGCCCTGTGAAGAACATGAAACAAAATATCAGTCATTTATATTCATAGCTGAACATTGAACATATTAAATATACAATTTCATGCTGTGCTCTCAGGGTTTCTGGATTTATGTTTTGATTTATTGTGCTAGCCTTCTTGAACAATTTGAAAAATATGCGTATATATCATATATAAAATACATATATACAGGGTTTCTTCAGGTTTCAGCAAGGCAAACTGAAGACTTTTTAAGACCATTATGAATCAAATTTCATTCTTATACAAGTTTAAATGCAAAGGTTGGAAAGTGTTTTACTTGCCTCATTAAAACAATATTTTTAATAATGACCGTTTGTAAACTATGATTAATAAAAGCTGTACAAGTATGGTTTATTATTAGTTCACGTTAGTAAATACATAATAAAACCTTATTTTAAAGTGTGACCAAAACAATAGCACTAGTTTGGATGAACAAATATTGCACTGTCTAATCTCATTCATACACAAGACAAAAGTCTTGTCTCCTATCCAGGTTTTAGGAACATCGAATAATAACTACACTTCTAGTTGATTATTTGATATCAGAAGTGGCTTATACGAAAGGCAAAGGCCTCTAAATTACACTAATTGACCAAAAATTAAATATGATCATGCCTTGATTTTTAGTTAATTAGGGCAGTAAGGTCTGACTTTGCATAGACAAAAGTCTTGTCACTGAACAGAAATAATGTCCAGTATAGAATATAAAGTCATGCTGCAGTGGAAACAGAATGAATATTGTGTCTGACTTCATCATGAGCTTGGAGGACTGCATCCATACATCTCTGACATGACTCAAATCACTGATTAATAAAGTCATCTGGAATGCCAAAGAAAGCATTTCGGCAGGACTCCCATAGTTCATCAAGATGCTTTGGATTCATCTTCAACGCCTCCTCCACCATCTTACCCTAGACATGCTCAATAATGTTCATGTCTGGTGACTGGGCTGGCCATTCCTGGAGCTTCTTTGCTTTCTCAGCACAAATGTCTTGATACCTCAGGCTGTTAATGTTGCCAACCACTCTGCAGATCTCTCACACACCCCCATACTGAATGTAACCCCAAACCATGATTTTTCCTTCACCAAACTTGACTGATTTCTCTGTTCCTTCTGCAGTGTTTGTGATGATTGAGATGCAGTTCAGTAAATGATTGATCTCAAAAATCAACCTTCTGCCACTTTTCCAAATGATCAACCAGAAGTCAAGTTATTAGTTGTTGCTTTTACAACCGGGATCAACGACAAGACTCTCATCAAGAATTGTGTTATAATTCTGAATGCAAATAATGTAGTTTATTTTGAATTTTGATTGATTTTAAATTGATTTAATTCGATTTTATATGCAAATATCTGCAATATAGAAATGCTTGTGACCTGAATGAAATATATTGTGTTCATAATTTGAAAAACCTGCTTTTGATACTATATCAGACATCTCTGATGATTTTCCATTTTTTACCTACACATATTTTAATTCTTACAACACCAACATTCACCTTATTTATTAATCACAAAAGAAATGTCTTTATATATAAAAAAGTTATTGCAAAAGTCAAAAGTGACAGAAAAACAATATTAGAGGTTCACGAAACCCTCGAGTACTTTTTTTGAGATTTTAACAGATTTGTGTGTGTTGAGCATCAGTTAAGACAATGTTAGCACCTGTCAGCTTTAATTGTTGGGAAAACTGGATAATTTTGAGCTTTTGTCAGCTAATTTCATCTTCCGGGTTTGAAATGATTTTTGGGGCGGGATCAAAATCGGTGACATGGTGCAAAACTGCAAGTGCAAAGATGACACGTCGGTTTCTCATTATTATTCATAGCTGAGTTTTCTTATCCTATGAGAAGAGCCGGCTTCTTAATTATTCATGACTGCGCATGCTTTCCGAAGGCAAAACAGACCTGCCAGTGCCAAGCTGTGAGACCCTATGTTTATGATTGGGTGAGACCGCGTCCACAGACCGACAGCACACAGTATTTAGGCGTTCATGAAGGGTGGTATATGTTTGTTTTCATGATCCACAGGGTTTGTTGCATTGTTTTTCCCAGTGACCCAGTCAGGGCCGATTCAGAAAAGCTGTTTGTGTGCAGCAAGCATTTTTGTCAGGAGAGCAGTAGGAGAATTGGAGAATGGCGGACTTTGTCTTTTATCAGGAGTTCGTTCACTGCGTTCGCCTAAATCCTTCAGATTACCAGCAGGGCTAACGGCTGAAATAGGCAGAGCAAGAGACCTGCTGCACTGAGTCTGCATTAAGACTGAAATAACACCACAGGAAGTTGGTAAATCTGTGTAAATAAAGGCCTGCCACCTGGGGTCCGTTCTTCGTACCTCGCTTAAATGATCTAAGATGATTTGGCAGATCCTGGATCTTTTAATCTTGATAACTGATCTCTGGCTAATTTGGTTCTCCAAACAAGTTCGCGAATCAGATTAGAATGTCTGGATGAACTGATCTGAGATCGCTGCGTTTGTTGTTAAGGACAGATCTATCGATCCTCGAAATCATGATCAGCAATGCAACGATTGGCTGACGGCACAGCAGCGTAATGACATCATCTGATTAATATTCAATTATCCATGTGAGCAAAATTACATCAAATTAGCAGTAAACGGCTTGTTAAATATGACACGCAGTAACTTCACATTTGTTGTGAGCTGCAGGCTTTACACTTTCATTTGTCAAGACAAGAGTATTCATCATGTATTTCAATGCAAATCAATGTATTTAGTTCTTCATTTAGAAAAGATTTTCTTTATTATAGTAACCGTTTTTAATCGGTGTAAAGAATAACTGGTTGTTTCCAAAAGCATTTTGATATTGGTAAAGGCGTCTGCAACTTTTGTGAAGCATCACTGGCATATTAACTGTCAAAACATGTTTATGACTGCATAAATGTATTATTGCTTTTAAAAAAAAGTCACATATTGTGCATTTCTATTATACACAATTTGTACTAAAGCGATCTAAAAAGTTTATATCAATAAGTTTTCTCTTTGCACCACCAGGTGGCAGTCTTTGTATTTTCATTTCGAGGGTGCAGATTGCACACGTTTTATTAATATGTATAACTTTATTTATTTTATTAATGACTATAACTTTTATATATACAGTTTAAAATATTTACTATTTTCCTAAGTGTATATAACTTTTACTGTAAGAAAATATCAGAACTCGGTACATACTTTCTGTATTATCTTTGCTTGAACTGAGCCGATCTAATCCTGTTTATATGAATTGAACCTGCTCCCGATCAGGTTTGACCTAGCAGAACTGTTGCTATGACAACAACTCTCGGATCAGCTTTGAAGAACGAAACGATCCTGGATCGTGTCAAATCGTCAATATCCAAATCCAGCTAACTGAGTAATCCACGAACGAAGAACGGACCCCTGAGCTGGAAAAAATCCTAGAGGAAACACTGAATTACTCTTTGTAAACTATAAAATCGTGGGTCTCCTCATGGTTTGGGTCTCATTTTGTGAGTCGACTGACAACAGTTGCTCGCTCCCCTCCTTCTCCCCTGCTCTGCTGGCCACGCCCACTCCTGCCTCTGATCGCGGAGCTCCACGCCCATTATGATGCATCTTTTGAAAAAATTCTGAGGCAGACTTGAACTGAAAGTGGGGGGTGTCATGGCCCCTTTAATGTTACAAACGACTCCTATTTCATGCTTTCTGTATACTGTAAAGACCCCGGTGTGTGTAATCTATGATCATAGCCCACCTGCTGACAGTCTGCAAAGGTATTTGAGCATGTTGGTGGAGCAGGCGTCTTCATCTCCCACCACGTACAGGGCATAACTCTGAAACACACAAACAAACAGGAGCAGAATAAGCGCTGGGACGGCACCTGTGTGGTTTTGGTTTGCCTCTGTCATGAAAACCTCTCCGTTTGATCATGCAAGAAGAGAATGAACATGTTTGGTGATGACGTGATGCAGTCATCAACCACACGCATGATGAATCACACACAACCACACAACACAGGTAATGAAGAAACACAGCTTATTCAGAGAAACTGAGAAATCACGTGAAACCCTTTTTAGGAAAATGCTTTTTATAATTGAGGCCTTCAGACGAAGAACGATCTAAGTTCATATTTACACATTTTTAAGTAATAACATTTTTTTCAGTCTGACTTTGCTAAGATAAAAGTTTTATCACTGAACAGAAATAATGTCCAGTATAGAATATAAAGTCATGCTGCAGTGGACACAGAATGAATATTGTGTCTGACTCCATCATGAGCTTGGAGGACTGCATCCATACATCTCTGACATGACTCAAATCACGGATTAATAAAGTCATCTGGAATGCCAAAGAAAGCATTTCTGCAGGACTCCCATAGTTCATCAAGATGCTTTGGATTCATCTTCAATGCCTCCTCCACCATCTTACCCCAGACATGCTCAATAATGTACATCTGTGGTGACTGGGCTGGCCAATCCTGGAGCTTCTTTGCTTTCTCAGCACAAATGTCTTGATACCTCAGGCTGTTAATGTTGCCACCCACTCTAAAGATCTCTCACACACCCCCATACTGAATGTAACCCCAAACCATGATTTTTCCTTCACCAAACTTGACTGATTTCTCTGATCCTTCTGCAATATTTGTGATGATTGAGATGCAGTTCAGTAAATGATTGATCTCAAAAATCAACCTTCTGCCACTTTTCCAAATGATCAACCAGAAGTCAAGTTATTATTTGGTGCTTTTACAACCGGGATCAACGACAAGACTATTTGAGCAGTCATCAACCACACGCATGATGAATCACACACAACCACACAACACAGGTAATGAAGAAACACAGCTTATTCAGAGAAACTGAGAAATCACGTGAAACCCTTTTTAGGAAAATGCTTTTTATAATTGAGGCCTTCAGATGAAGAACCATCTAAGTTCATATTTACACATTTTTAGGTAATAACATTTTTTTCAGTTGGATTGTGGACGTTATATATTTTTATATATTTTACTAGAAGATAGACAACAAAAGCTTCTCAATTTTAAACCAGTTAAACTCCACAGACCCGGTACTGGTCATCGACTTTCGCTTTAAGATTTAAAGGGCGAGCATTGCACCAGACCCCTTTAAGTGGTTTCTTTTGAAAGTGTAGAATCTATACTGTATGCATATATGCATCACTTTGGTATTTATTCTACTGTACAAAAGTTATTTACACTTAAATACACAGTATTTTAAATACCCAAGCTGGGTATTTTACATTGGTATATTTTCATAAGGTTCATATATGACACATGTACAAGTTATAGCTCAAATGAAAGCTCTTGCCGGTGCATTCTTTTTACTGAATTATATTCACATGTCAAACAGTTGTTGAATGAATCGCCGTGTTTCCATGGCGCACAAATGAAAACAATACATTTATGATCAATAAGCAGCCCCAGATAGCACAGACAGCTGTCATCTCTTACCTTATGCTGTGCGCTTCAGGGCCATTTCTGCTCTGTTTTGAGGTGATGTGCATAAGTAATCCTTTCATATGTCTGACGTGGTCCAAACACAGTGAATTATGTTTGATCAAACAAAAGAATAGTAAAATATGTAAACAATGAACGGTCCCTGTGGCTTGTACAGCACCTCTCATCAGCTGGAATACAATAACTTGTGCATAGATTATGGTAGAGACATTTTTCCTATGATTACAGACATGTGCAGGAACCACCAAAATTAATTACAGCACCCTAAACCACACTGAACCTAAAAGGTACAGTTTCAAATTTGAGTTTATAAAAACAAAATACAAAAAGCGCCTCTTTTTTGTGTTTATTATAACACAGACAACATATACATGTATTTTAAACACTTTCAATAGTGTTTTATGAAAATTCAAAGGTTTTTTTTTTAATGATACCAAATGTTTGCATTTACACCTCTGCATGTGGATTTGGGAAGCTTTTAAATTTGGATAGGCAAAATCCAAGAAATCCCAAAATAACTGCAGAGTTTAGCTGGTTAAGGAAATAACATTCTTCAGTGTCAATATTAAAGATCATGTTGTTTTAATTTATGCTTGTACAGTAAGTGTGGAATAACAGTATGACTCCAATTCATCATATTAATTTAAACCACTAAAGATCTGACAGTAACAGATATTCAGGTTAATAATAAGCATTTCTTTCAAGTTTGTTATTATTATTTAAAAACAGAAAATACAGTACAAACAAAGCACAATACATAGACCTTCTTACAGTGCATGCAATAGCAATTAAATTTTAACAATAAACAATAAATAAATACAACAATAAATGCATGCAATAAATAGCTAAATATTGTCGCTTATTTGGAAAAGCTGGCGCAGCTCGAGCTCTTGATCTCAAGCTCCACCATCTCACAAAATAAATAAATATATAAACAAATAAACTCTGCATGCCGCAGTTTACACAGGACTGGCGAAAAACATGCATTGATACAGCTTTATTATATATGGTATGAGGTTTATTTTGATGGGTTAACGGTTTTTATTGGTGTTATCACCTTTCTTCCTCATTCTGATGCTCGCTTTGAACTGCAGCAGATCGTCTTGACCATGCATTGAGTTGCTGCCATGCGATTGTGGACAGGTGGTCAGGTGTACCTAATAAAGTGGCCGGTGAGTGTATACTTGTATGTGCATGTATTTAAGCATATTTTCTGTGATTTCCTTGTCTATATACATTTAATCTAGTACATTTTGTGAAATACATTGTATAATACTCATCATAATTATTAACTTTTTTCAATTCGATTCAATTCAGTATTGCTTTATTACCGTGACTGCAAATAATACAATTTTGCCAAAGCTTGAAAGAGGAAGACAAATATAAAACTACAATAACATGTCAAAATAAAGAATAGAAACAAAATATTATAATCATTAACTGAAATAAACAACATAAGAAATAAAAACGTGAACATTTCAAAGCATATTGCTTGACATAAAAACACACACAAACACACACACACACACAGAGAGAGAGAGACAAAGGGTCACTGTGGTAGACAGTAGGGAACCATACAGTAATTCACTCATGACACACATAATTGAGTGTATCTTTATTCTCTCTCTCTCTCTCTCTCTCTCTCTCTCTCTCTTCATTACAGAACTAATAACGACTTTTAATTTGACTTTGTGTTGGATATTACTTTTCTGCATTGTTTAGATATTCAATTGAGTCATGTGACTATAGTGTTCAAATGAACTCCAGGCGCACCAGAATTCTGTTACCCTGATGAAGGCAGGTGTTGCCGAAACATGTAGGTGCTGTTTTATAGAATAGCCATGTTAATAAAGGCTAACAATTTTCTGACTTACTTTTTCAGTGCCTTAAACTAATGATTCCCTAATAAAAGGTATAGTTTAGTAGAAACTACAGAACAATTAACAATAAAACAAATGTATGCAAATGACCAACCACACAAACACATTGATTAAAAACATAAATTAAAATAAACTAATTATAAAAAGATTAGGATGAAGTATTAAAGTTACTGACAAAATCTAATTTTAAAATAATGCAAACAATTATTCCTTGATAAAATAATAGCCCCTTTCACACATGCAGACCTTTCCGAAAAAATTGCCGGTAAATTTTCGGAAAGGTCTGCATGTGTGAACAGGCCCTTTTAAAAAATACCGGGAAATTTGTTCCAGCAATTTTCCAGAAAGAGAAGTTGTAACATTACCAGTAATTTGCCAGAATGCTGCGCTGTGTACGCAGAAGGAAGATTGCCAGAAATGGTGTGTTCACGTATAGAACGTGCTGACGTGAGACGTCTACTTCAGCCAATCAGAGCACTCAGACGTATTCACAGTTTATGAAAATAAAAGCCTTTGAATATTTTTCCAGACACATTTAGCTGCTAGATGTTAGTCAGATCACGTTTCTATGTTCCTTCTTAAGCCTGGTTTATACTTCTGCATCAAGTGACCGGCGTGACCCACGGCGACCCAACTCGCTCATTTTGAGGCAGTAACTGGCGGACGTGCAACAACTAACTATGAGGTAAACACAAAACAAAACTTTCCATCAGGAGCTCCTTCACAAGACTCCACACTTGTGAACAATCGCTCCATTGGGCTCGCGTCCAGCTCGCGCCATTCTCGCGGCTCTCGGCCCCGCCCAGATTCATCAGTGCTACCAAGCCAACCAATCACAGAGCTTACAATTTTTGAGAGGTGCACGTCAGCCATGGCCACGGCGAAGGGCTATGCGTTAGCGCCGTAGCATACGCCGGCGTTTGACGCAGAGGTATAGATCAGCCTTTAATACCAACTGTGTAAATAATTATCAGTAGATGCTTATGACAAACCGCTGTTTGTTTACCTTCAAACTCTGCTTTCTTCAGTCAAAGACTTGAGAATGCACAAGACATGTCACTCCTATCTTTTGAATGGGGAAAAGTGTAACTGTCAGTTTGGTGAATAAAGCTCCGCCTACAAGTAAAGGGGCCAATCATCAACCATTATATGGTGGAAAAAAAGTTCACCTTCTAGTACAGGAGCCAATCATCAATCGCTATAGACTGCCGATACTCTGGGGGAGGAGCTTGGACCAGTCGAGAGTTTCTGCACATTTTGTGTGATTTGGACGTTTAGAAATGAAACAAAAGGGACAGGTGTTGTTCAAATTTATTGGTGTTTTCTAATATGAAATTCAATCATAATCTTGGCAAGCAATTTTGGAGAATTTGATGTTTCCCCATTCAGACAGAATGCCCGAGCATACTGAACTAGAGATGCTTCAAAGATGGCCGCCAAGTGAAATGACTTGCCTTAAAGGGACTTTGCTTCAGTT